GAAAATTGATGGGAGTTATGCACCAAAATGTATGGTGATCTGACAAGCAAAATGATGAGGTGTCTTCCATGGGTTTAACAATGGGGACTTGGTGTTTAACAATGGGAATGGGATGCTTGGAAAGGTACCCCACTGCCACGGGGATTGTTTTTTCAGGGATTCCAAGCTCTATGGGGACAAAATCAGATTTATTGTGGTGATTTCTGATGGGTACCTTTTCTGATTGGATCCATGATGCCATGGCTAGGGGGTTGGGCCAAAACCCTGTTGAGATGAAAGGAAAATCGGAAACATCTAAACATGATGGTGAAAACATGCAAACCATGGAGGTTCAGTAAAGAAACCAGTGTGCCAATCCAATGAATCGTGTTTGGGTGCAGCACCACCAAATGTACCTAGATTTCTGAACGACTTGATGTTCTCAAAGCTCAGAAGCCCCCAAAAAAATATATATTAGACATTGCCATTTTGGGTACACAACCGGGTGGCGTCAAGGAAAAGCCTCACAATAAACACGATCAGTTTTACGATGGTTTCACCATAGTAGTTGAGGTTGTCTGAACCCCCGTTAGAGTCTTCATCAATCAACCAATCCCCTTGGTGCCCCTATCCCTCACCAAGTCACTCGGGCATGTGCCGGCCTCACCGGCACCTGACAGGCAGGAAGCTATCCCTTGGGGATGGTTCTATGTTGGGGGTCTTTTAACCCTTTACCTTTTGGTGAACACTAAAATGAATAGCTGGAAAACGGATTCGTTATATAATAATCCATTGATAATGGATTGATAATCCATTGATAATGGATTGATGTTTATCCCCCTGGGTATGATAGTTGTAGATTGGCTATTGACCCATCGCCACTTCTTCGACATGGGACATGCCGGACATGCAACGACGCGTCCCGAAGTGGAACGGATGTCCTTCTTCGGTACTATGGTCACTAGGCATGATTTTGTACTTCCACGACAGGTTTGAACTTTACTTTTTGGTGGCTAAATAGTGTCTGATCTCTCCCAAACCGGAAATTTCGGAAATCTAAGAATCATCTACAGCCCAATGCAACATAAAACCAATTTACCAAATTTGGTGGCACATGGTGGCACTATACACCCTCGACTTTCAACCAACTTGAACCTCAAAATTGTCCAATGGATGATCATCATTTTCCCCAAGCCATTTGGGGATATACCCTGAAGGGCAATCATTAGCCATCGAATCATTAGCCCCATATGATCAGCAATAACCATCGAACATTGAGTTATCCCATCATTAACCACACTTGAGAAGGGGTGACACGAAAGGTAGTTGTGTCAGACGTTATAACTCTGATTGTCGTGGTGATGTGACTCCAGCTTGGGTGGTTCATGAACCGTGGACGGGCATGAAGCTGGACATTCATAGCTGAACGGAGATATCTGGATCCGAAAAGAGGGCACCCCACGATTGCCATGGTTGATCATCACTTAGTCCATTTAAATAGCCATTTGATGCCATTTGGAGGTATACATTGTCAGACACACGCATCGTGCGGGGGGAAAAAAAAACACGATCAGTGTTAGCACAAACTCCAATGTCTCTTTTTGCGGTACCTATGGATGCTCGAACCTGTCACTTTCATCGCACCGTTGGGTACTTGGAAAATGGATGTCGAAAAATCCGAATTTCAAGTCGAATGATGATGGTGATGAGGAGGATGATGATGATGATGATGTTGATGATGATGATGATGACGAGACACTGCGAAGGGGCTGCTGCGTGAAGAGACTCACCAGGCATATGGCGAGAGTTCCCTTTGAGTGGGGGGGAGGGGGGGGATGTCCATGGTTGCTCATCACTTAGTCCATTTAAATAGCCATTTGGAGGTATACATTGTCAGACACACGCATCGTGCGGGGAAAAAAAACACGGTCAGTGTTAGCACAAACTCCAATGTCTCTTGTTGCGGTACCTATGGATGCTCGAACCTGTCACTTTCATCGCACCGTTGGGTACTTGGAAAATGGATGTCGAAAAATCCGAATGTCAAGTCGAATGATGATGGTGATGAGGAGGATGATGATGATGATGGTGATGATGACGAGACACTGCGAAGGGGCCCCTGCGTGAAGAGACTCACCAGGCATATGGCGAGAGTTCCCTTTGAGGGTGGGGGAGGGGTGGGGGGGTCCCTTTCTCCTGGTCGCTCAGGGATAAGGGGTCCAGCCCGCCCCTTTGCATCATTGACCATAGTGACTATGATAATATTAGGCTAACCATTAATGATGGTTTTTTTTGAACATTGCTATAAAAACAGCTATTAACCATCATGATCCCAGCCAGCAACAGATTTGGGATAATAATGCAGTAGTGGTTAATCATTGAGTTAATAACGATGGTTAGTGTTGAACTGGACAGGTTTATGGCCCCCTGGTATCTTCTATTTCCCAGCCACACCTCAACGCGCCTCGTCTTTTCGCGGACAAATCAGCGATGCTTGAGGTTGAAAAAGGGCAGCTGAATTGGAACAGCTGACAGTTCAGTTGAATTGAAATGCTATGTATGCCACATGTATAAGTGAGGGTTTGGCACATCTGCACTCCCCCTTTGCGGGCCCGTTAGGCTTCCGCAAACAGGAAAATTTTAAATTGGCCTCTCTCACTCAAGCTACCCCTTCAGCTTCACAGCAGTTCAAACAAGATCGCACAAGTCGTGATGCAGCAAATCTCGGACATCTTTGATCTGTGTGGAGCTGGTTTCCATGGTCTGGGAGATACAATGGGCATCCAGGGGGCGGTCTGCCCCGCGTTCTTCTCAAGACACCTTTGCAGATGTCACACCATTCATATTCGGTCAAACGGCCAACCTGTGGTCCTCGCAGATGGCGACAATGCCTTCTCAAGTGGTAGACGGTTCCACATGGTGACCTCAGGATTTGAAATCCCAACTGAAAATCACGTCCTTCTTGTGTTTCATTTTCTGCTGGCAGCATAGCTCCTCTTTGGATTTGTGACCACAACTGGTCTTCATCTCTTTTGATACTTTCTAGGGCAGAAAGAATCTGCTCTGTTGTTGGTCCTTGTCTTGGTGGCTCAGTGGATTGGGCACTTGAAGATGAAGAATGTTGCCCCCTTTGGTCCAACCCTCGTCCTTGTTCGGACGGGCTTTCTCCCTCACGAGGGTTGGGCGCACGGTCTCCTCCACCAGTGCCCCTAGCTCCTCGGATGCCGCCTTCACGAGGGTTTACTTCACGTTCTTCCCCTCGGAGGCTGGCTTCACGAGGGAGCTCAGTTCGGTCTCCTCCACCAGAACTGGCTTCACCTCGGAGGGTGCTAGGGAGCCGGACTGGGTCTGTACGTTGACCCAACCCCTCCTCACCTAGCCTTCCAGGGAGGCGGACTGGAACACCACAGTGTTCCAACCCCTTCTCACCCGGGTTTTCGGACCGACTTCCACTGGCCTTTTCTTCCTTCTTTTTCTGAACTTCACTCTTCACTCTTTGTTGCAAGCTCCTGATCTCTTCCTCCTCATCTTGGCTTTCCTCTTGATCTGATGCAGTCGATGCAGGGAGACTTCGGGACGGTTCTTGGCTTAACCCTTGAGGTTGAGCCTCTATCTGCCTTACTCCTACCTTCCACATCCACTGCGCCAAGATCGTGAGCACAACCACGATCAGAGTGTAGATCCACATCATCATGTAGAGTTCTCCTGCGCCTTCTTCTTCTTCTTCTTGGCCCCGTGCTGCTTGCAGACTTGCAGCCAGGGTAATGAGTCTCATCGCCAATGCAGTTTGCGCGACCTGCATTGACGCATTCTTTTCTTTCCTCTCTTCGCTTTGTTTCATATCCTCCCGTGTGTCTACATCTTTGTTCTCTGGTCTCGTTCTCATCCGCATCAGATCTTTCAGATGCTCCAGTCTGGTGGACGGCAATGGCTTCGTGCCAACGTCCGCTGTCATGTCTTGGCCTGCTATGTGGCCAATCATCCACTCGCCTTGCATCACTTGTTGGCGGGCATATCCGGCGCGCATCTTCAAGTGCCGGGTGCGCCAGCTCCCACCTTCGTTCACCATGATTGAAGCTGCAGACTGACTGTCTGTCCACGCCTGGCGTTTGACGCCCTCGCAGAGCTCATACAAAATAACTGCCACTGCCTCTCCACCTGTCATTCCTTCTATCAATTCGTTCAACTCTGATTCTGCAGTTGAGAGGGTGATTGTTGGCTGCCTCCCTGATCGCCAGAAAATCAGGCATCGGTTTATGAAAACCAAGAAGCATCCATGGCTTTCCTCACCCTCTGGTGAGAATGACGCATCTGTGAAAACTTTAACGCATACATCTTCCTCAGGATCTTCTTGATACATCAGCCCCTGGGCTGCTGTTTTCCTGAGATATCCTCTGATCTGCGCTGCGGTTTCCAAAACACTGGCAGTACCCTTCGTGACATGTGAGCCCATGCGACTCGTGGAAAACATCAAGTCTGGTCGAGATCTGGTGACCAGCCATAAAATCTCACCTACTTCTTTCTGACACTGGCGGATCTTTTCCAAAGATGGGGTCTCCTTATCTGGCTCCATCAAAGCTTGATCCTTTGTGATTGGGATTTTCTTTTCTTTTTCTTCAGTGTCTTGCTTCCCAATCAGATCTTTCACGTATGATTCTTGCGTGATCATCCATGCTTCCTTTCCCTCATCCAGAACTTTCAAGATGTCCATGCCTAAGAATCTCACTGGCTGCTCTGTGACCTCCTCTGGGACGGAAGTCGCCCATGTTTCTTGTATCTTTTCTTTCACTGCCGTCATGACTGGTTCTTTTGCGGCAATGAATATATCATCGACATAGGTCATTACCAGTCCCAACACTGTGCCGTTGGTGAGCCAGTGTTCTTCTTCCTCATCTTCTTTTCCTCTATCTTCTACTACCTTCCACAAATTCGGTTCTGAGCCAAGTTGAAGCAGCTTCAACGTTTTGGCCTTTTCTCCCTTGACTTTGATTCTGAATCCTCGCATCTTCTCATCTCGGTGGTTACCCCAAAGACGGGGTGATCTTCTGAAGCCATAAACTGCCTTCAGTGGTTGGTATACTTGGCTTCGATCTAGATAACCTTTTTCGATGAAGATGGAGGGTGGACGAAGAAGTAAAACGTCTTCTTCTGGATCTTGTTCCATACAGGCGTTCAAAAACGCTTTTTTGTCTGTCCAAGACGCATCCCTTCCATCCGTATTTCGCAGATGCCCAAATGAGCACTCTGAGTGCTGTGGCGTCTGCTCCTCCGCTGTATGTCTGTTCACCTTCCTTCTTTGGTTCCAGGTTTCCACACACGACCCACCTCACTTTGCGTTTGAATGCTCCAGGGATGGGCTTCACGGTGAAGACAACCTTGGTGGGAAGGTATTCTATTTTTCGACCTTCCTCTTCTGCCTTTCTTTTGATCTCTTGATGTTCTTCTGGGGTCAGCTTCTTCAGTGCTTCCTTCTCTCGCGTCAGTGAGTTGACCTCAGCATCCACAGCTTCTAACCATTTCTCCCAATCTCTTGCCACTTCCTTTGGGGAAATGATCTTCGTTTGCAGAACCTCTTCTTGGCCTGAGGGATTCTGCATCATCTTCTTGAGCTTGTGGATGATCTTGATCTCATCGTTTGCGATCTCTGGATCGTCTTCAATAAGGTGCTGTGCTTCTTCTTTTAGGATCTGCTGGATCCTTTCTTTTTGCTGCTTGTGCTTCTCCTCTTCTTCCTCTTCATCCGGTTGGGGCCGCATGCTGACATCCATTCTTCTCACGGCTGACTTCTCTCTCAGCCTTCTTCGCACTGTCCATGCATCCTCCGCATCATTCTCGAGGGCGATCCAGGTCTGTTCGTCCTCAGGCTCCAAAGTTGGCCTCATGATGCACTTGGTGACTCGTGGCACTTCACCTTCCTTCATCACCCAGTGACCATGGTCTTCCGCTGATGGAAGAAGGTATAAGACCTTTTCCCAGCCCACTTCAAAATCTTTCTTTCTCCATGTTCTTTTCCTGACTCTGACCTCTTGTAGGAACCTGGGCCACCATGGCTTAACGCCAAGTCGGACACATCGGTTGATCTCATTCACATACCGGAGTGCCCATGGCCACATAGAGGAGTCTCGACCTGCTTGTCGTAGGGTCCTTCTGACCTGATCTTTGATGGCCTTCACACAGACTTCCGCCCTACCATTTCCTCTTGGATCATCCCCAGATGTTCTTGTGAGATGGATGCCTCTGACCCTGGCCCACTGCTTGAAATGGCCTTGAAACTCGTGGCCCCTGTCACTGTGTATGTGGCCCACATGATACCCATCAGCCTTGAGCTCTAGCCACATTTCCATCGTTGTGGCTGTCACCTCTCTTGATGTTTTGGTGACCATTGGAAGTGCCAGCCGAAATGTCTTCATCTCTGTCTCTTCTATGAGGTTCCGTGCGCCATCCTCAGCTTCCTCCGGGAGCTGGGCCAGACCCCTTTGGTCCGATCCGTCCTCACCGGGGGGCACAGGAACCTCATCTTCTTCTTCTGCTCTATCTCCTTCTTCCTGATCTTCTAAGGCTGGTGCTTCCTGGTCTTCTTTATCTTCAATCTTTGGCTCATCTCCTGCCATAGCTTCATCTTCCGGCTGATCCAACTTGGTGGTGCCCCTGGGAACTCGCCAGGTCAACACGCCAACCAAGAAGTATCTTGCCTGGTATCCTCCTTGATCGTATGCTGGGATCATTGGACCCGCCGTGTCCAACGAGAGCACACCTGCCTGTGGGTATTTCACCTTCTTGTGTGGGCTGCACTGTTGGGCTGACTCCTGGCAGACCCGACAGTCCCTTCTAAATGGGACATGGTTGAAGGCAATGTGTTCAGCCCATGTAACCTCCTTCATCTTGATGTCCGTCTTGTGGACTTGGGTCATCAGGGCACTCGCCACCATGTTCATGACTCCGGGTGCCCAGCGAGAGAGTTCTTTGGAGTTTTGGATCTTCACCATTCCTCCCTTTCTCCTCTCCATAAAATCTTCACTGGGCAACTTCAGAGAGCCTCCAAACGTTGTTGGCTTTGTGGTGGGTCCTCCCATTCTGCCTTGTTCCAGAGTTTCTTCTTGAAATCTGAAGGCTTCCTTCACCTTTTTCCATTCCTTCGTATCCCACCAACTCACCACATCAGAGTTGTATGCCCTTGGAGATGCTATCTGCCACCAACTCACCACATCAGAGTTGTATGCCCTTGGAGATGCTGGCTGTTCCATTGTGAACAAAACCTCCGGCAATCTTCTTGCCTTTGCCATTGAGGAGGCAACGACGTAGAGGAAAATCACCCTCCACATCAAGATGTCGTCGGCCTGGAGCATCTTCTTCTCTGCTTCAGTGATGTCCTTGATGCCATATTCCTCTCCTCCCCAACGTCTTATTGGCCTTGGTGCTGATGCATCTCCAGGGATTGGGATGTGTCGCAGAATGCTTCTGGTTCTGCAATTGGGTGCGGACACGATGGCGTTCAACTTACCCTCCAGGGCTGCTCTTATCAGGCCACTATATGGACCACGACTCCTCAACATGTCGTGACCCGCCCCACGACAGATGTCAATCTCAAGCAGGGCATCCTCTCTTCCTCCAATTTGCTTCCAGGCTTGTTGGAGCGTGAACCCTTCTTTTGGGCCTGCATAGATGTGGGCAATGAACCCATCTCTCTTCATCTTCTTCCTTTGTCTCCTGTTTGTAGGGAGGTCTGACCATTCTCCTGGCTCCACTGGCAACTCCTGCTTCAGCCATTGGGGTAGCCCAGAGAAGATCGGATGCTGGTCGATGAGCTTCAGCATCCACCTCCATTCTTCTTGGAAGTCAGCGGCCGTTGATCCGATCTCAGCTCCTTTTTCTTCGAGCTCTTGGATCAGGTCTAAGGCATCCCTTCTGGAAATCTGGGGACATCCGTTGATGTGGTGAACCTTGATGTTGCCCTTCTTGGGGTGACTCAATTGAACCTCGGTGCCCCGCCATGTGATCTCACATCCTAGCTTCCCTGTGAGGAGTCCCATAGGGACGATAGGCTCCACATCATCATCCAAGCCAATCATGACACCTGATGATGTCATTGGGAGCTTTGCTTCTGTTCCGTCCGCTAAGGAAACTGTCACCTTGCGGTAGCTCCCCACGTCTTCATTTGGTCGAGGAGGCCTGAGGGGATGTGTGGCCCCAGAGTCAATGAGGCCCATCTTCCATCCTCTTGACATCCTCTTCAACTGGAACTTCTTGAGCTTGATGGCATTGAGCTGCTGCTGTAGCCTTTGCATGATCTCCTCTTTTGTATCCTCTTCCTTTGACGCTTCCGAAGAAGCACTTGACGTCGTGGTGAGAGACTTTAGCATCTTGTTGGCTTCCTCCAAGAGATCCCGCATTGACTGCTCTGCTGGAGATCCATTGTGATCCCGCATTGACTGCTCTGCTGGAGATCCCTTGCGATCCCGTATTGACTGCTCTGCTGGAGATCGCTTGCTTGGAGATTCTTCCTTCAATTGGGGACTTGGCTCCTCCCCCTCGGCTTTGGCACTCTTCTGCTTTCTTGGGCTTCCATCGTTGGGAACTCGAGGTCGGGTGCAGCTTGGGGCGAGGTGCTCTGTGGAGCCACAGATGTAGCATCGGCGCTTCCCATCACTACCTTCATGTGGCCAGCTGCACTCCTTGCCTCTTCTACATCCGGCTTCGCTCAAATAAAACTTACATCGAGCCTTTCCTTTTGCTTCTTCTTGGGCCTCCTTGCCCTTTCCTTTTCCTTTGTCTCCTTCATCTACTTCCATTGTCTTGATCTTTGCCTGATCTCCTTTTTGGCCTGCTTGTGCTCCCTTCTTGTCGATGTGTGCTAGTTGATCAACCTCAGAAAGGATGTGGGTGGCCAATTGGCCTATGTTCACCTCTGAGGGGGCCGTGTCGACCAGAAGGCTTGACCTGATCAAGGAGATGCGAAATTGTAATTCTCTATGTCCTTCAAGTAGCTTCTTCGTCATCTTGTTCAATCCTTTCAGCAAGATTGTTGGGTCCGGAGAGACTGCTCCGATTTCTTGTGTGCGTTTCCTCCACCTCATCCACCTCCGCAATGCTGCTGGTGCTTCTGCCATGCTCTGTATTTCGCTAGGGTCTTCAAGATTGCGGAGGAGAGTCTGTTTTTCTTGCACTCCTCCTGGACAATATGTCAGTAGGAGATGTGTCAGTATACCAAACACCGACAATCGCCTTGCTGAGACCAGCTCCTCTCGCACTGCTTCTGGCAATGCCTGGAGTATCATTGTTGACACTCTGCGCTCCAATCTTTGCCATCTCTCTTCCTGCAGCATCTTCGGTGGATCTGGTAGGTGTTGAAGTCGATCCAGTGGTCCCAGCGAAAGATGATGCTGATACCACGACTCTGATTGATTGGTCATCTTTGACCACCATTCCTCAGATGACAGGGAAAGATCCGCTATCACCGGCTGAACCAGGAGCATCCAGTCTCCTAGTTGGAGGGGTCCGAGATTGGGAGTCCATGGAGGCAACGCAGGAAGGTCTTGAACTCCACTGCGAACCACCTCCACGCCCCTGATCATCCCTGTCTCCTCTTTGCCATCATTGACTTTCCCTTGCATCTCTTTCATGGTCTCCATCATCGTCATCATAAACTGCATGGTCTTTTCTGTGAAAGACTCTTCTCGGCTTGATGTGCCCTCTCGCCCCTTCGGCTTTTCTGAGTGCTGCTGTCCTGCCTCATTTGCCTCTCCTCTTGGGGTGTCCTCTGCTTGCTTTGGGGGGTCTGCAGCCTCCTCTGGGGGTTCTGCGGCCTCCTTTGTTCTTGCTTGGGGTTTGTGTGTCTCCTTGGGGGTCTCAGCAGCCTCCTTCTTCTTGGCAGCCTCCTCCAAGTCACTGGCAACCTGCTTCATTCTTTGCGACGACTTCCACTCTTCCTCTGGAGTGGAAAATTTCTGATCTTCTTCTTCTCGACTTCTGGTCTCTAAACCTTCTAGTCTATTCTTCAACTGCCTGTTCTCCTCTACCAGCATTCGCAAAGTCTTCCTAATCTCCTCCTTTTCAACTTGATCATGCATGAATCTCTCTTGATAATACTCCAGTTGGGGATCTCTCTGTGACATGACGGCTCCCCCTCTGTTCAGCCTGAATCTGTCGGATCTGATTGAGCTGTTCCTGAGTGAACAGCGGTGCAACGTCAGGAGAGGCCTCAGTGTTCCTTGGTGGAGACCGGTTGGAAGCAGATCCTCTCTCTGATTCCCCAGTCCTATTTCCTGAAACACTGTTTGCGGCCTTAGTGGTTTCAGGTCCGTTTGCGACCTGTTCGAATTCTGGAGTCACCTTGGTGAGTGGAGTGACCTTAGCTGGTGAAGCAAAACTCTCAGGCGGCACAGGTGGTGGTGTCGAAGGAGGAAGCAACTGTGGTCGCTTCACTACTGAATCTGTGGGGGATTGTTGAACCTCAGCCTTCGGAGTACCTTTGGAACTTTCCTTGGCGACAACAGCTTGGCTAGCTAAAACTACCTCACTGCCTCTGGTTTCGTCCCTTTCCATTTCAGTTTGATCCTCCAACGCCTTTTCACCTCTTTCCTCTGCTTCTTTCTCCATTCTTTTCTGAGCCTGCTTCATTTGTCTTTCGCCTTCCTCCAACTCACCCAAGGTGGCTTTTCTTCGTCTATCCATCAGACGCAGCTCACCTTGGGCTCATAACCTGTTGAACTGGACAGGTTTATGGCCCCCTGGTATCTTCTATTTCCCAGCCACACCTCAACGCGCCTCGTCTTTTCGCGGACAAATCAGCGATGCTTGAGGTTGAAAAAGGGCAGCTGAATTGGAACAGCTGACAGTTCAGTTGAATTGAAATGCTATGTATGCCACATGTATAAGTGAGGGTTTGGCACATCTGCAATTATTATTTCCATAATTGACGAACTCATATTGTTCAACATGGGTTGAAGCCACCAAGCAGCAAGTATCACCCCCCATTCCAAGGTGAACCCGGCCGGATCCATGTCTGAGGCCTCTGGGCTCATCGAATCCCTCGAGGATGATGATGTCACACGATTGGCGGCTCGGATGAAAGGCGAAGTTCCCGCCCTGGATGGGATTTCATGGGATTTCAACCAATGAAACTAATGACACTAATGGGATAATGGGATATACTGTACTACTAGATTTACTACCCTCTGGTAAACATACATAACTATGGAAAATCACCATTTTTAATGGGAAAACTCACTATAAATAGCCATTTTCAATAGCTATGTTAAATTACCAGAGGGTAGATAATGGGATATAATATAATGGGATCTTAAATCATCGAAAACCAATGATTTCATGGGATTTTCATCAAAGATATTGTACTACTAGACATCCATGGAATATGGATATGGAAAGATGCTGTTGTCCCTGCGGTTGGTTTAGATTCACCACATGATCTAGTTTGAGATATCATAGACCATAGAATTCACCTGGTTTTCACTAAATGAAGTTAGCCTCCGGTAAACTAACATAGCTATGGAACATGGCCATTTATAGTGAGTTTTCCCATTAGAAATTGTGATTTTCCATCGTTTTTTGTATGTTTACCAGAGGGTAGCTATCGTTTGGCCGCCAACTTGTGTAGGAAGTCCCAAAGGGATAGAAACGATCCAATATGGATACCCCCAAAAAAATCCACTCCATTATCAGGACACCCAACCCCCCCAGGTCATTTTTTGGGGGTATCAATATGGTCTAATTTGCCAATATCTGTTGGACTTATACTAACTTTCCGTCTTTCTGGGTTGTTGTTTTTGCCGGGAATTGATCCATGGAATCCATGGCTGATGGTCATGGTTTGTCTTGTGGGGAGACGGAGCCGGTTGGGGATGGAAATGGATTGAACTATCGACACATGGAGATTCTAGGATATTTTAGCCATCAAAAAACTGGGATTGAATGAGGAAACCATCTGGATCTAAGATGATAAATCAGATGGAGGTGGATAATTTAGGCCCTGTTATATATATACATATATGTATATATGTATCATATATGTACATGATATATGGCACTTTTCTGACGTGAAGACGATGAGGTGTTGGAGGCATGGAACTGGAAAACCGGGTAGAACTGGACATGAGTTTTCCCTAAAGGGTGGAACCGTGGCCACAAAGACATTCACAGGACATCCATTATCCAAACATGGTGAAACAACCAGTGCTGTTTTTTTTTTTTATCAGTTTTGGAACATGGTGTTACTTGCCTAGCATTGTAGTCAGCCTGTTCATGTTTTCCTGAAAAAAAACACACAGGAAATCATAGTTTTGACCTGCTTAGATGCTGGGTTTTCTGGTCTCAGCCTGCGCTCTACATGAAAGATGCGTTTCTGACCCACTCCAATCAGTTTTTGAGGCCATTTGGCACGGTCAAGATGTTTATGGGTCGCACATGCTGCCACGAGGTTTCCTTGGTCATTGAAGAGTTCGGCTATGGTGACTCGACGAAGCAGTGCTGTGCTAGACCGGGCCAAATGTTGAGTCGTAAATGAAGCTGGCTAGTCCGCCTATTTTTGATGGATATATAATTAATATTAATTAATATTAATTAAACGTGTATTTTCAACATTTTCTATCCATGTCTATTCACTATTCTATACACGATGAATCACCAGTACTCGTAGCAACGTTCGGAGCGTTCGGCGAAGCTGACATCCCCAGGAGAGCTCTCACAAAGCGCCAAGCGCTTTGACGCCTCTGTGCCTTGCTGCAAGTCATTGTCGTTGTCATCCCCCAGGTCCTGGTTGATAGATCTATGGCACTATGATATATATAAGATTATGATAGATTATGTTTATATTCATGGTTTATGTTAAAACCCATGAATACTATATACCATATATACATATATATATATATATCCATATATGTATATAGATATATCTACCATAAACCATATAGTTATATATTGTATAACTATAGAGATATAGCTTTGTCTGAAAATTATGGGAATCCCAAAATCCTGTAGTTAACCATCATTTTCCCCATTATACAAGATGCCAATTTGGGGTGCACCCCATTCTCAGACAAACCCAAATACCACCCTAAAACCTCTGGTGAAACGTGTTGAGGCTATTCATTTTTGGGGCCCAGTGATGGGGAATGTTTCATATTGGGGGCATGGGATGAAGGTTTGCCTGTCCATGTTCTTCTATCTTCCCGTGTCTTAATACAACTGAGCAGTTTGAAATATGGCAACTGTCACATGGGACTAGTTTGGAAAACTCTGCTGGACAAATTGATAGGCTCAGTGAGATGTTCCTCTTCGACTGCCTATGAAACCAGAACGGGAATAAGATATTTGGATGTTAATTCACCAGGGGCGATCGGGTAACTTACTACTGTCTCTATGGGTTCTACTACCTATGATACCAAGAAGAATATAAACATAAAAAACCCATTAAAAAAACCATAAAAAAACCCATAAAAAACCCATTTTTTTCCTTGAAAAGCCATCCACAGAAGATCCAGCTAGACCATCCAGAGCCAATGAGGTATCCCTGTCGACCTATGGGGTTAAACACATCCAGCTATATGTCACTTTACAGCAATTTCCCTGAATCCATCTCTACAGGATCTGTTCCTCATCATCATTACATTAAAAAAAAGCAATCATCCATATGTTTTCCCAGGAAAATCCATCTACAATTCCAAGGTCCAATCGATCCTAGATTTCCTAAATGGATCCCAAGGTGTCGCTCTTCAACTACCTGAAGAAGAGTTTTTACAAAACTGCCTCCTTGTTGGCTGCCGCGTGCAGAGCTTCAGCCGTTCTGACGGGCCTCCGCTGTGAAGTCTGCGACACTTGGACGTGATCAAAATGGACGAAGAGCTGTGATGTGTGAAATTAGGCTACTATGCTACCCGGAAATCTCACAGTTCCGGGACATATTCATTTATTTGTAGTAAAATTGCCATGTTCATCCATAATGTTTTTTTTTGGCTTCATTTTTGGACCATGACACATTCCCCTCACCTTGTTTGATGTTTTTTTTGGGGAAATCATCCCTATATCTGGCGATACGATGCTGACCAATGCACTTCACTGGAGGTCCTCTGTCACTTTAGTGAGGAAGCCATCCTTGTTCTTTGATTTCTGCGAAATCAAAGCTTTCCACTTTGACATCAAGTTTCAAACGGGTGAGTCAGGCCATGGGTTTTCCATTGGAAAACCCATGTTTTCCAATGGGTAAAATGCGCTGAACTCGACGCCCAGGACGTCCTCTACACGTATGGCTTCTACTTGGGCTTAGCCTTTCAGATTGCCGACGATGTCTTGGACTTCACCGGCGGTCACGTGATAACCGATTTCGGGTGAGAAAAAACCTGGGATAGTAGCCATTAATAAATGGATGATCGTTATAGTCTTAGTGGATTATAATAGTACATCTATATGATAAGTGGATACTATGGATGAAAATGGGATAGTACTATAATGGATTGTAAATATTGGGTTATTGTAACCATATAGGTCAATGACAGGTTTGGCAAAGTGGAGTGATTGGAATACGCCGCAACCACCACCGCTCAAGCTATAATCCCCATGGGCCGTTTCCCCTTGAATATATCGCCATTGTATCTACTTGGTTTGGGACACATTGCTTTGACCGGGATTGTGGTTCTACAGCATCACCAACAGAGAGTTTTGGAGGATAGGCTTCTAGATTTGGCGGTGAAATCTGCGGACCATAGGGAGGTACAAGTGAATCCTGATCCAAGTCCTGGTGGTGAGAGCGCCAAGACAACGCATCGGTTTGAGGGACCACCTATCTTTCCGGCAGTTGGCCCCAAGCCTGAGGCTGGCTTTCGAGAACAGGGGTTGCTGTCAATTGCTCTACTATTGTTAGTGTTTTTGCTAGCTGTGGTAGTGGCAGTGAAGATTTTGCAGTCCCGGACATCTAAGAAACAGGAGACAGCTGAGGGCGCTCCGAGCCCTAGGCAGCTAGCTCAGAGACAGCTTGCTGAGCTGCGATTGAGGAGACATGGCATTGGTGAATCGCTACATTCTGGTCGAGTATGATGTAGGAGGTCCGAGGTTGTGGCATGAGAGGTGGGCCCTTGAACATGTAGGTGGAGATTCATACATAGTTGTGACACCTGACAGAGATATATATAGTGAAGACTTGGGTTTGCTGAACAGTGATTTGCGTGGGATCCGAGTGCGACCCGCTCCTGGGGTGGTGCCTCCGGAGGTGAATGCAGCAGAGATTTATGCGCTGCCCATGTGGAATGTCGGAGAGGTGCAGGCCATTCGAGATGAAGCAAGGCAGGTCGCTCTCCAAGAGCGCCAGGCAGCGGGAGCACCTGCGGCACAAGCTGTTCCTGTGGCAGCAGTTGGGGTGGCAGCCCTTCCTGCGGTCGCTGGGCCCCTTGTGCCTGCTGGTGCGGCACCCCATGCCTGCGGTGTCTTGAAATGGATGGCGGCTGAGACGGCTGCGGGTTACAGGTATGGAGACCCCGTTGTTGGGGTTACGGCGGCTAGTGCTCGTGGTGCCAAAGCAGTGCATGTGGAGAATGGGATCCCTATTTTTGTTGAGTGTGTTGATGGAGCAGTTTTCACTGTTTTCATGTCACGCCCCGCCAAGTGTGATCATCGCATCTTGGCCGTAGAGATGAATGCTTTGGGTCAGCCTGAGAGGACGCTGAAGGATGCCGCTTCGGCCTTGTCTGAAACAGCGGTGAAGTGGACCCTCACTGGTCCTCGGACGTCCAAGTGGTGCATCAGCTATTTGGCCATTGAGGGATTGGGTTTTGAGGGTCACCACGAGAGACTGCGGCAGGTGACACGTGCAGATTCTTCATCCTGGGGCATACAAGAGCATTTTCAGATTTCAATGTCTTTGAGGCAGGCCTTGTTGGTTGATCAGCTCAATGGGTGCAACCTCTTGAGCGTTGAAGTGCAGTTCAGGAGGTTGCAGACCATTGAATGCAGCTATGCCGAGAAGGCGCGTGAACAAGAGTCAAAGGCGGTTGGAGGCAGACTGACATTGGAGGAGCAGACAACCTTCGGTGGCATGACTCGGCAATACAGTACGTTGATGATTTGTCCAGAATTGCTGGACTATGTCCGGACTGAAACTGAGAGAGAGGCGACTCTTGCAAAAAGTCTGCGGAAGGCCAGAGAGGAGCGGGAGGCCTTGCGAAAAGGCCAAAACCAAAAGACGAAGGGCAAGCAGGAGGACCCCTGAGGGTCCAGGTGCGGCCCAGCCTAGGCCCAAGGCTGGCCGTGGAACCTCATGTGCCACAAGGTGGAAGGCAGGTCAATAGGGAACTTTTCCCACTGCCCTCCGTGCATGTTGAATCTCTGGAAGCTGGTAAGTTGTCGAGGAAAGTTCGACAGCGGATTGGCAGAAGGCGGCATCTACAGGAGGAGGTGCAGAGCACAGTCAATGTTTTGAACATGATGCATGGTGGGACGGGCGGCCCTATGTCTCCGAAAGGTGATATCAGTAGTGGTCAGCAAAAAGTCCTGGAATTCATTGAGCAGTCAGTTGCGGCTTTGGGAAGCCCACCTCAACTTTCTGGCCCAGAGGCCCTAGAGGAGCTTCGGGTGAGTGTTGGGTACGGAGAGACGCCAGCTTCGTGCCCACTCGGTTCCTTTGATCCCGCGTCCGTCTCATTGGCTTCTGGAGAGATACGACCCGTCGCTCTGGAAAAACTTTGGGGTGAAGGCGGGCAACAAGTGGTGAAGGAATTTTCATCACAAATGCTTGGTCCGGATGAGGTCCATGCCAAGCTGAGAGCTAGTGGTGATGTGCGGATTTACAATGACCCCAAGCTGAACGACCCCAAAGAATATGGAGCCTTCATTAGCCGACTGCATTCCTTAGGTCTTGCTGAGTTTTGTTTGGAGCCGCAGGAGGAAGAAGTAGGGCTGTTTTTTTGTGAAGAAGAAACAAAACCGCCTGAGGCTGATCATGGACTGCCGCAGGGCGAATCTCCATTTTGCAGAGCCATCCACCGTTGAGCTTGCAACCGGCGATGCGCTGGGAAAGCTAGAGGTGGGCAGAGATGATACTCTGTATTTGGCATCAGCAGATCTTGCAAACGCCTTTTATACACTGGAGCTGCCGGCAGAGTGGCGGCGTTTTTTTGGTTTTAGACGGGTCAGAGCTGTGCACCTTGGTGTGGTTGAGGTGAATGGCCAGGCTGTCGCACCTGACACCTGGGTGTACCCACGGACCTTGGTGGTTCCCATGGGTTGGGCCTGGGCATTGTGGTGGTGCCAGAGTGTGAATGAGAGGATATGCGAGAGGAGTGGTTTGGCAGCATGTCATAGAGTGCGAGATGGTTTTCCAATTCCTGGTGGCTCTTTCTGGCATTTGCAGTATGTAGATAACTTGCATGTGTTGGGAACTGACAAAACAGAAGTAGAGAAAAAGTTTTGGGATGCGGTGCGAGGTTTGAGGGAAGCAGGTTTGACAGTGCATGAGATAGAGTTCAGCGAGTCAACCGTCAACATGCTTGGGTGGCAGATAGAGGAGAAAGGGGTTCTACGCCCAACCTACAAGCGAATCTGGCGGATCAGGATTGCGATCCGGGAGTTGCTCTCCCGTGGGCGAATGACTGGACAACAGCTGGAACGTTTGATTGGGCATATGACTTTTGTGTCACTTTGCCGTCGTGAGGCCTTAGCAGTGCTTGGTGAGGTATACACCTTCATCAGACGGCATTACCTTGAATGCGTGCCTATCTGGAAAACAGTGAGGAAGGAGCTCATGAAGTTTGATGGTTTGTGTCCTCTAATATTCAACAACATGCGTAGTGGTTGGAGCAATACAGTATATGCAGTTGACGCGTCAGAGTGGGGCTTGGGTGTTGTTAGGTCTGAAGTCGAACGTGGTTGTAGCAAACAATGGGGTCAACATCTTGAGAGGTGGAGGTTCAAGGATGCCAATGCAAAAGATCCTAGGAGGTATGTATTGGTTGAGGATGAGCGAAACTTTGTGGTTGATGAAGATAGTCCACCCCCAAACGACGTTGAACGGCATTACAAGACAGTGGGTTTTGAGGCAGTTGATCGTCATTGGCAAGTTGTTGGTCGCTTTAAATGGTTGCGAGCAGATAGCATGCCTGTTTTAGAAGCCAGGGCCTCTTTGTACGCAGTCAAGCATTTTTTGAGGAACAGCACAAACTTTGGGCAACGGTTATTGGTGTTGACGGATAGCATGACGGCGGCAGTAGCATATGATAAGGGAAGAGCACAATCACACAAACTAAGGCGTGTTCTTGAGCAGTTTTTGGCTTTGGCACTTTCAACAGGGTTGGTGGCTAGGACTAGATGGATTCCAAGTGAGTGGAATCCGGCTGATTCAGTGAGCCGTGGGGGAACAGCTCCATCGAACCCACAGCGCCGTTTTGATGATCCACCGACAGTTGGGAGTGGAAGTGAGCTGGTGCAGCAGCCCTCAGAAAAGAGGGGGCGGGGAGACAATTTCCCGCAGAACCAACAGAGGTGTTTTCCGACACAACAGGCTCGGGAGGCGCCCCTCAGGGAAGTTCCTCTCACCTGGCAGGTAGAGCAGTTGACAGAGCAGCGCTCAGTCAAGAAGCAGAGGCGAAGCCAGTTGAGAAAAGCAGCGCAGTCAAGAAAAGTAGGAGGAGTGCTGAGAAAGAACTCAGTAGGACACCTGACTCAAAAGAAATATCAGAGACACTGGGAGATGTTGCAAAAGTGGAGTCACAATGCAATTGCAGTAGATACTTCGCTGGAGGTGTTGGACTCGATGCTTGCAAATTATCTGGAGCATTGTTACCTAGAAGGGGAGGATCTCAGTTTTGCGAACTATGCAGTGGCTTCAGTAGTGTATCATCTGCCCAGGGCCAAGGGGGCAGCCTTACCCTTGGTACAACAGTCAATGCGGGGGTGGCGAAGATTGTGCCCACAGAGAGCGCGATTGCCAATCCCCTACGAAGTAGTGTGTCTGCTGAGCATGCAGGCCTACATGGAGCACAAACTAGAGATTTGCGTGGTGCTGCAACTGATGTTTTTGTTGTACCTGAGGCCAGGCGAGGCCTTCACCATGCGGGTCCAAGACATTGTGTTCCCAGTCAAGCGAGCCGGCAAAGCATACAAGCACTTCTCAATACTGCTGCACCCCTCGGAAGAGGGGATTCCGTCCAAGACGAAACAGTGGGACGAAATGCTGAGTATAGACCTGAAACACATGAAGTTCTTGGGACCAGCTCTAGAACAAATTCTGGACCTCAAGAACAGGGCAGGTGCAGACAAAGAAATTTACAATCAGCCTGGAGGACGTGAACCAGTTCATGGAAAGCAACTGGGAGCCTCTGTGCCTCAAGCCGCTGGGAAAGCCTCACGCATACAGGTTGCGCCACGGAGGTGCAAGCTACGAGGCAGCCTTGAAGCTGCGCACACTGGCATCGATACAGAGCAGAGGGCGATGGCAGACGTTGAAAAGTGTCAAGAATTACGAGAAGGGTTCAAGACTGGCGCAGCTCTTTGGCAGTCTCAGCAAAGCAACAAGAGACAAGGCCGTGCGAGCAAAAAAGGACGTCGTGCAAGTCTTGTCTGGAAAGCTTTAGATCCTACGCGGAGTCTCAAAGTTTCAGTTTTTCTTGAAATTTTCAGTGGATGTGGTCGCTTGGGCAGAGCAATACACCGCAAGTGCGGGTGGCCGGTTCTCTTGTGGGATATTAATTTTGGCGCTATGTATGACTTGTTGGATTCTAGTAACCAAAACAAAATCATACACTGGATTATGTCTGGAGAGGTGCGAGCAGGTCATTTGGGTACGCCTTGTCATAGCTTCTCCCGGGCACGTGATCGCCCTGGGGGACCGCCAAGACTTCGGTCAGACCAGCAGCCTCTTGGACTTCCAGACTTGAGACCAGGTGACCAGCTGAAAGTTACCCAGGGGAACCGGTTGATGCGTTTTTCATGCCGAGTTTTGCTCCTAGCCTTACAACTGCATATATCATTTACACTGGAGAATCCCCGAAACAGTCGTCTCTGGTTGTGTCCTGGTGTGCAGAACATCATGCGTCGACGTGCCATTGATACAGTTGATATTACTTTTTGTGCTTTTGGTACTGCTTGGAAGAAACCCACTAAGTTTCTGGGTATACACTTGGATCTCTCTCTTCTTCGACCTTATTCTTGTGTTGGTACAAAGCGGGGCATTTGTGCACATACTGGCTGTCCACATATCCCACTGATGGGTCAGCATCCGTCAGGTATGTGGATGACAAAGGTCGCTGAACCATACCCTTTGGTGTTGTGCAGAAAGTTGGCTCAAATTTTTTGCAACACTGATTTAGCAGCAATTGCAGAGGGATTCATGATTTACTTGTAAGCGGATACTCCAGGAGGCACCCGTTGAGTGCAAACTTGGGTGCAAAACTGGGTGCGGCTATGCTGGCGTTAGCTCTCAAGTGAGGCTGATCAGTCTCCGGTGCTCGCAAAACGCGAGGCAGAGCATTCAGTGACCCTTCTGGCAGTGGAAATACATGCAACGGTGGCATTATTATAACTATGCCATGTAATTATAACCCTTATTATAATGGATTATAATCCCTCATTAATTATCCATGGTTACAAATGGATGATAATTGGATTATAAATGACTATATTGTGGAAAGAAAATAATGGTGATTCACATGGGATTAAAAACACACATCATGACTGCGTGCTGGTTTCACTAATAACTTGATGTTCAACCCAATGACTGGGATGATGATGATGATGATGATGATGATCCCAATCGACTTTCCTATGATTTTCGGATGTGTGGCTCAACCACCAAGCATTTTTTTGTCAGAGGGGCACCCCCAATGGATGACCTTTCCGTAACAGGGCAATGGAACCACCCCAAATGAGTTCGCTGTGTTTTCCCAGTAAAACACCATTGAGTTACCGGGGATTTTCCAGCCACGGTGATGATTTCCAGTGGGTATGGCCATTTTCAGATTGGATCTCTCCAAGGAGTTCCTCTCCTTGGTGTCCCATGGTGGTCCCTTGCTGGATATCTGCACTTTGGTTGGTTCTACTGTATCTGGATAAACAGGCCGAATGGGCCCTTCAGTACATACTCTATAAGAATGTCATGAGTTTTTACATGGATATCACATGATATAAATGGGCATTTATTCACTGACCGTGTATATATATATATACCTTTGTGGCATTTTTTCCATCTACTGCGAGTCCATGCTGGCTCCATCCAGGTGAGGAGTTAGGCAAACCCATCGGCCAAGACCTCGCTGAAGGTGGGACGGGATGGTTGAACGAAAATATAGAGGATCTCGTAACAAAAAGGATCAAACATGGTGATTCATGGGGTGATTCAACCATGAAAAATCTGGAACTTGGGGCTTCCAAAGTCATGAAACCGGAGGTTACTGTATCACCAAAGTCCTGTGGGTCCTTTTCAAGGGAAACGCCATGATGAAAAGGGGGGCTCCAAGTTTTAGAAACCCAGCAAGGTGGTGTCGGTGGTGTCCAGCAGTTTCAGAGTTTCCTTCTTCTGGTCCCAACTGGGGAAGATGATTGCCTTTTTGCAGAGGTAGGGTTCAAAATTAAAGATCCAGGGCCTCCAGGGGACCACAGATTTTCCGGATGGGTTTGGTGATTTTTTTTCTGATGTGGGATTCACCTGCCATTTTTTCCTACGATTTTGGGGGATGGGATAAAATCCCATGGACATATTGGGGATGGTTAAATCATTAAATCAATGATGAACCACTGCCCCATGTTACCATAAAGTTGGCAATGCCACCGTCCCTGGACGGTGGTATTGGGTTCACCATTCAGCATCCTCTCGTCACCTCCCCATCTGCAGCCAGGCAATCTGACAGCGCCTGTCATCCTGTGCTTGCAAGGCAGCGAGGAGCGTTGATTCTTGCGGCCTGACACCTTGTGATGATTGACAACACTGCAAGCTCCCCCTTTCCCAGGCTATGTATATATATATATATACATAATTATATTATATATTTATATACCCTCTGGTTATTTAACATAGCCATGGAAAATGGCCCATTTCTAGATGACGTTCCCATTAAAACCTCCATTTAGGGATTTTCCATGGCTATGTTAAATAACCAGAGGGTATATTTTTTATATATCATGACTGTTGGAACCCTTGCTGTTTGGTAGAAGTCTCCCTTTTCTGGAGTAAATCATGTAAATCCCCATCTGGTTAGTGGAAAAAAACATGTTTCAACTGTCATTTTCCACTGAAATGGGATGATGATCCAAAGTGACTAATATTGCTGGTGCCGAATCTAATATGCCCATTAGTGCAAGAAAGTCCCTTGCACTTGCTTTCCAGCATGGTCGCAATCAGCATCTCACTAGGTGGGATTTCCCCTCTTAATTGTTTTGGTGTCAACGTTGGGTTTGCATGCTCATTTTGATGAGACCTTCAGAAAGTCTAACTTTCTGAACCCCTCATGCGCAATATATCAGCGCATGAGTAGCAGTCGTCCGCACTTCTGGGGGTTGAAATCCCCAGGGATTTTTTGCGAGTCAAAGGAGTTGGGCTTGGCAGCCTCAGTGGACAGCAGCGAGCTAGCAAGGTGGGCTGTGCGGACCAACTGAAAAATTGTGGTACAATGTGGTAGATGACGTTTCTTTTTTTTGGGGGATTACTGGGTTACTATTATAATGCTATGGAGGTTTACAGTGTCCTTTTTTTCAATGTTGTGGGTCGTGTTTTACTGGTACTTTTTTGGTTGAAGTTTTTTTCCCATCTAGGACAAGGGGAAACTACAATGATTTGCAAGTTTTTTTCTTTGGGGCTGTACACTTTTACCTACTTTCATCAGCATTAGCACGGCATATCTATGTATATATATATATATATATATATATCTGCCAACATACTTACTGTAATATACAGTATATATATACATACATACATACATATGTTTTTTAACCCTTATGGAACTCTGCTTCAAAAGTTGGTTTAAGTTTATGTTGGTCCCCATCCCCATGTCTTTGGTTTCGGCGCCTCGTAGGTTGATCCAAAGACGCTTCTCGGGCCATGGAGATTTAGAGCGGTCCCTGCAGATCATCAATGAGAGTGGCGGCGTGGACCGAGACGCTGAGCTGCATGGGTTGCTGCATGGGTTGCTGCATGGGTTGGGATGTTCCAACTCAATTCTCAATAATTCCTCCTGGCTGGACCAAAAGGAGCCATTCTGGATGGGTATTTTTTGAAGTGTTGGATCAGTGTCGATTTGGCCTGGAACCGCGCTTGGGGTTGGTAAATTGATGTAAGTTGGTGGTACATTTTGTTGAAAACACGCTATGATTGCTTACCATTCTCCCCCCAGCAGGACAACTGGAAAGTTATTGTATTTTACTATCACTACTAACATATCATAATCCATGAATGTGGTGCATTATATGGTTAATTTAATATGTAATTGGAAGTACCATGGTTAATTATCAAGTATTGATCAACCATATTTACCATATAATGACATACTTGATATATAATCAAATCATAATATGAAGTTATAATGTATAATGATATACACAACCCCCAAAACCCATATATTTCATGGTGAAAAAAACATGGTTTCCTGCAGACTTTCCCAACAAGAAAACTCAATCCATGGAGGTTTCCCAATAGGATTTTCCCTTATAAACCATCCATTTTTGGGTATCCCCATTTATGGAAACTCCCATATAATTCCCCATATTCATGGCTTTTTGTTGCTATTAATATGTTCCCATGTTTTCAACTGCCCAAGATGGGATTCATCCGCGCCCAGGCCTACGCCTTGGCAGAGAAGATGGTTCGTTGCCTCAAGGGGATGAAAGGGGATGAATACACACATTACACGCATACTGATACATATATCTATATAGATGGATGGATAGATAGACAGATAGATAGCTAGATAGATAGATAAGATAAGATTAGATTAGACTAGATTATATTAGACTAGATTAGATAGATTAGACTAGATTATATTAGACTAGATTAGATAGATAGACATTTATATTTTGCTATTTTTGCTGGGAACAGAAGAGTACCCCAAGGGAGCTACACATTTTATATAAGTATATGCTTTCTGGTGAAAATGGTTGGGTGAATGTGAACATATCCTGTCAAACAAGAGCATATGTGTTTGGGCACAGTGTGAGTCTCAAATTTTGATTCATACCCATACAGTACCCGAGTCGCATTCATGACCTCTACAACTAGTGACTACTTCTCTATTCCCCATGTTTGATTCGTCAAACTTCCTTTGAAGTTGCGTATCATGTTGGGCTAACCACTTGATCCATGAAGCCCGGTTGTTGAGTTCCTTTCTCCTGAAATCATCATCCCTGGTTCAGAAAAGGCAACCCTTGGGAAACAGACCACAATGCAGCCTTGTTATGGAAAAAAAGGCACAGAACATTTAACACCGTTCCTGGAACACCTAAATCTCTTTGTTGGAAATGACAAATCCATCAAACCCAGGTTTTTGTTGGAAAACAAATCACATTTGACAAATGTGGCTGTGGAAAACATTAAAAACACCCTATAATTTTGGTTGGACAACCACAATGTTTGTTTCAAGGATTTCAGGATAGGAACAAAGACCGCAAGCCCTTTTTATTTGGGTATATCCTCGTTTAACACCAAATTTTGTTTGGGAGGAAAAGCCATTCCTTTTGCGGGTAAATCAATTCAGTTTCTGGTTGGAACAATAGCATTTTTAGGACAAAATACGGCTTGATGCCACAAAAGCACCAACCCTCCCTCAGGGGTTCAAACCAATTCGATTCCATCATGTTGCATCCGCCACTGAGGCTCACAGCCAAACATGTCATTAAGCCAGAACATGTTGGTTGATTTGTAGCTTTGGTTGGGGGCCCAATTTGAACCCCAATTTCCTTATTTCCGTATGATCATAGTTGTTTTTCTTTCTTTTAATTGAACCATAATTGAACATCAACCAGCTGTTAACCAAAAGCAGAGCTAATTACAATATTTGCTTAAGCGACTATGAATCATGAAGACCCGCATACACACAATTTATGGTGTTGAGGGATTTGGACCAATATTCAATATATACTATTTATTTATCTCTATATCTATTCATTTATATTATATATATATACATATGTTCAACATACTAACCTTTATGTACCAAGAGTATTAGATTCATGGCTATCCTCAAAATTAAGCCGATGGTTCAATCATCCCAGCGTATCTCCGTATTGGAAACCGATCATTTATCCAATTTGATCACCACACTGCTACTGTCAGGTTCGATTTCCAAAAAGGTGCTGTGTGTTCACCATGAATAGATCTGGCATATTATGGGAGTTCAATCACAATATTAGACCTTGGACTATATATTCCATAAAGTAGATACTAGTAACAACCATATAACCACTGGTTGGTGGTTTGGAACATTTTTTATTTTTCCATAGATTGGGAACAATAATATCAACTGACTAATATTTTTCAGAGGGGTTGAAACCACCAACCAGACCATCAATATTCATCCATACTCCATACTAATGTGGTAAACCCAATGCCATAAACCATCCCGAAGTCTACCATCAACCATTGCAGAGTTCACCACATTAAAAGTTGAAGACTACCCTCTGGTAATTTAAAATAGCTATTGAACATGGCCATTTATAGTGAGTTTTCCCATTAAAAATGGTGATTTTCCATACTTATGTTAGTTTACCAGAGGGTAGTTGAAGACTAAGCAAATAATAACCTCAAGGCCAGCGAGATTCTATCAACTTTGCATCATAAATTCTAACCGGAGGTTCAATTCCCAAAAATCACCAGAATATTAGACATTAGGTTATACATCATAAACTCATCCCCCAAAATCTGTACATATATCATCCTCAGCAAATGGTACTAACATAATGACTAACATATATTAACCACTTAAAACATCTTACCCTTTGGTAAACTAACACAGCGAACTGGAAAAAAAAACACTAACACTTTTTTTTCTCGGTAAATCAACTATACATGAGCCGTTTTTCCATCGCTTTTTCTAATTTTGCCAGATAAAACCAGAAAAACATATCCAGCGATTTCGCACATTTCAGGCCAACAAGGCTTTGGAGGCCTTAACCTTGGTCGCGCCCACCGAGTCGGAGGCCCGCCGCGCCCTGGCCGGGCTCTGTAGGTGGGCTGTGCACCTTGGCGCGATAGCCGGAATGGACGTTTTGTTGGGGACGTTTGGGCCGGTGAAAATGGGAGGTGTCCGGAGTTTTCCCATGAACATTGGTGGTTTTCTGTAACATGTCCCGAAACCACCAATCCATTGAATGGAAAAAAACGGGGGATTTCCACTAGATTTCATGGATTTCACCAAGCGACATGGATATTAGGTGATCTTTGGTGGTAGTGAAATAATCATTGATGAAATTCCGGCCATCCCAGCACTGTTTGCGACGTTTCTGGATTGACCATAGAAAAGGGAGGAAAAAACTATGGATCTAAGGCTTGGTGGATTATTTAAGGTAGAGAATTGACCAAACGTGGCAATTAACCACATTTCCCCCTTTGGTGATCTTGAAGGGGGACAAAGAACAATACTCAAAATGGGGTGAAACTATGAGCGTTAATAAGTTAATACCTATGCCTATGCATGTGGATATATCATGATATATCCTATCGATACATAAAAACCTTCCCACATGCCCAGTGGAGCCAGCTGGCAGCTTGGATAGTGACCCTCGAGTCCAACAATGGAGACAACCTCACTGCAACGTAGTGGAATGATGCTTAGTAAGACTTAGTAAGGGAATCTATTCCGATATTCAACATGCTGTTGAACTTCTGGCTGGTGAATTTGCAATTTATTGAGATATATTGAGATTCATGCCTCGTTTCATGGTTTCAAGCTGTTTCAAATATGAGACATCCATCCCACCTGGGATGAAGATGCTATAGATCCCAGCACGTGACGAGGAGACGCTCGAACTGATGTGGAGCGCGCTCCCTGATGCATGTGATTTGCGGTTGCCGCTGCGGGCACTGGCAATATGTCGACCTTCCAGCCAGGGCAGTCACTTTAGCTTGTAAAAATATTTTCTGTTGTATTTGGTCCATTCCAAAAGGCTGATTCTTGTGAAACTATGGCCTAGGTGAACAAACCATTCTTCTTATCCATTGTTGAAGTGGCTATTTTTGGAATTTATGTTTGGCCATCAGTTTTTTGCAGGGTCTCCAAGATCAGACATGTGTCAAGACCATGTCCACAAAAAGGCTGCGAGGTTTGCGCTGATCATGTTTTAAAGACCATGTTCCATTTGTAAGTGGGTTCCGCAAAGTAGGACGGTTTCCTTACCCTCTGGTAATTTAACATAGCTATTGAAAATCACCATTTTCAATGGGTAAATCCACTATAAATGACAATTTTCAATAGCTATGTTAGTTTACCAGAGGGTATATACTAAGAATTATCAATTCATTTGTGGCAGCTGAATTTTTGACCCATATCCATTTGATGTGGATGACTAGATCCAACTCATGAACACTTGGTGGCCATGACAGTCATAACCCCTGTTGGGTGCAGCCAGGCCCGCCGGCAACGGCACCTTTTAAAGACCCCATGAATGGACAGAGGTTGTACATCTATGGCCGGCAAAGAAGCAGAGAAAGTTTCTAGCCTCCTTAAAAAGCTATGTTCATGTGGTCGATTTGCTGACGAAGATGGGAATAAATAGGATAGTCTATAAGATCTCGCTCAACCACGTGTCACTGCTGATGTCTGTGAATGCAGTTGGCATGAACATATGCGTAATTGTAGATCTATCTTTGTATACATCTTGTATATATATAATTGTTATATTATATAATTATATATATATACACATCATATTATATGCATATATTCATATAGCAGTAGATCTCTGTGGATGTGCCATATTTTGCTTTGTTTCTCTGCCATTCAGCTTCTTTGAATCGGCTGGAGAGAGATGACTTTGAAAACAGCTGACGTCGTTGGGGTAAAATGAATTTTAGACGAGGAGAAGATCCCTCAGTCAATGGTGGATGCATCCCAAGAGGCGGAGGCCCTAAAAACATCTAAAAACCAGGACCAGCGAGTGGAAACCTCAAAAATGGAGTGGAAATGCCAATTCTTACCGGGTCCTGAATTGTGTGTTTCTGTTTATCCACTTGGTAGGTGCTCCCTCTATTGACACCAATCTCCGAAGTTGAAAACTGTTGGTAGTCCAGCCAAAGGGGCTTTCCTGAAGGCAAACTCCTAGGTGACAGCAACTAGCAAGCTGCCGCAAAGGTTTTTTGTTTTGGGCAGATGCTGTACACATTTGTACACCATGCAACATCACCAGGGGGCCCATGCCCAGGAAATGCCTAACTTTGTCGTTTTTTTCGCAGGTTTTGGCTCGGTTTTGGCTTTTGATACCTCTTCAGAGGCCATGGCTTCTTAGAACTGACCTTTGAGGTGGCGAAAGGTTCCGACTCGTGGACCAGCTGCGTGACGTAGTTGTGCGGATCGCAGCAGACAAGACGCCTGTGAAAAAAGGCTGGAGGGCTCTGTGCAGATGGCCACGGTACATTTGGATCATTTGGATTCGCATCCAATGCTCAGTGCACCATAGAACAACGTGTTTTTTTTTTTTCCGGGCCATCTTGTGGTGATTCAAAGACATTTCGCTGGATGGCAAAATTGGATTGCCTACTGGGCATTTCCCAAATTCCGCTACCCTGACGGGTGGAGGTTGACTGTTGAAGGGCGTGGTTGGCCCCCCAAAAGGTGTTCTTTTCTCGTGCGAAGCAAACCATATGATGATTTGTTCAGTGCGGTAGGCATTGCAGTCCTTCTAAGGTCTTCGAAAATCTTCTAAGTACATGTGAAATCCTCAAACCTATCTATCCTCGAATTCGATGGCCAAGCAGATGAATTCACCCAAAACACACCAACAAAAAATTGCTTTGGTGCCCGTTAGCTACCATATTTTCGAGTCATGGTCAATCCACGTGGTGCATCTCTGCAACCGAGGTGCAGCTGTGGGCATTTGCGTTCTAGACGAGGTTGGACACTTAAGCAATGAGGTGCTTCTCCTCATTCGCATAGAGATACACAAAGAAATGAGGGTTTTCTTCAATTGGGGGATCCTCAAAAGCATGGCTTTTAAAGGGTCTAATTTTGGATGATTTGGGGTACCCCCATTTTTGGAAGGGTTACGTAGGTGGTGTTGGATCCACAACAAAATGGTGACTCAGTTTGTTTTCCTCATCCCTTGTGATTTTGTGATGACACATGTGTTTATTTGTTTGATATGTCTCATTTTGATTCATTTTACGGATTTTGTCCAGTTTCCTTTATCCCTATAGTGTACATTCCCCTGAAAAGCACCACTTGGATCACTTGGAGGGTGCATCCCAGTTAGCGCTTGGGGATATGGATACCGTCCGTGGGATGCTCATCCAGCTCTCGTCCGCGTTGAAGGCAAGTTGTACCAGCTCCCTGCAACTGTCTGGATGCAAGAAATTGCAGCCCTGTCTGGCACCGGGACCTCCCAATCCCTGCATGTACGAAGCTCGTTCGGCACTGTGCCCGTTTTGGATGTGGTATGATGTATGATGCGGTTGAAATATGTTGGAATCAAACACGATGGTTGGCAAAGCAGAAAGTCACCCATTGGCGATGTTTCGGGCATTGGAAAAGTGGCTCAATAGGGCCTTTTTCAGGGTCAAGGTCCGTCTGGGCGATCTTTCAGGAAACGTGATCCCTTAATCTTCCAAATCCCGACAGTTTTTCTGATTGAAAATACATTTACAGGAACCAAGTTGAGGTTTCCAGCAAATTTGCCAAATCTGGAATTGTTTTTTGTGGAAGTTTCCTGCAGACTCGTCCGGTAAAACTAAATTTCCTGGAAAAAATAGCAGAGTTTCATGGTGGTTGCATCATGTTACATCCATACATTTTAAGTTGAATTGGTCAAACTTAAACTTATGTTATTTCTTCTAGCATCTTTTAGCTAGACCGGCTATACCACAAAAATCCATTAAAAATCCTTCATTCTTCATGCTTTGGGGCCTCCTTTTTACATCCTTGGATAGGGACAGAATTTGATGGTCCAATTTCCTCAAAGCCGCCAAAGCCTAAGGATCTCAGCGCCTGTCGAGACGTTGCTGGGCTCAATTCCCATTATGAGTTGACCACAAGCCATATAAATATACTTAGATATAGCATATTATACCATTAATTGATACCATTAGTTAAATGGTTATCATATGTTATCATCATATCATTATAATATTGTTAAATATACCACTAGTTAATATTGATATTATATCATCATTGATACCATTAGTTTTGATCATGGTACACACATGGTGATGCTTCTGCGCTTTGATGTCAACCATTTCAACCAAGAGACTCGGGCGCCCATCCCGATCCATAAAAGAAAAGCAAAGGGCTTTCGTTTCGTGTGTTCAATGATGTCCAATGTATTTGATTATATAAGCGTAGTTATAAAGACATGATATGCACAGACGGCGGCGTATGCTCGACTAATTCTGGTTCTCCCCGACAAGGAGTAATTCTGGTCGACAAGAATATCTCTTCCAACCGACAAATATATTTCGACATAATCATTCATTCAGTGTGTATATATATTTATATGGATATATGTATATATATATATAATATATATATATCATTTCTTCCTACGCCCAGTGTATTCTTTATGCTTAGTGTATGCTAGGGCTGGATACTTACTGGTGGATCCTAGATATCTACCTGTTGGATACGTCCGTGTTTTTTTGGGTCACAGCATCTTTGATTTTAGAAAGGTGGCGAAAGCTAGCAAGAATCAATAAAGAACCAGCAAGCAAACCAACCAGCTGACCAGACCAACAAATCAACATTTTTCTGTTTTCCCTTTGGCCTCAGCTTCACGGCCTCTGCGGAGAAGACTTTGGGGGAAGGCCCCTCCCTTGGTGGTTCTTCATGGAGCCTTGTGCAGCCATTGGCTCCAGCCATACACGTGAAGCTTCCAAACACAGAGGCCCCGGGGTGGAGTGCCAAGCCGTGGCCGATGAGTGAACCGCTAGTACGAATCGGCCATTCACTAAAATGTTTTCAAACCAGTTGACCATCCATTTTTGGTTCGAACTGCGATTTGCCATGAAAGCGATCTCCGATGGATTTCCTTCGAACTCAAGTGTAACTGGTCAAAGATGTAGATTGGATGATCTGTAGATTCTGCCTAGGCCTTTTTCTCTTTTTCCGCCATATAGAATCTGGTGTAAATTCTGCTCAGTACCCTCTCCGCAATGTAGAATCTGCCCAGTTAGTTTGCACAGAATGTAGATTCTGCCGAGTAGGTTGTCCACATTGTAGAACCTGGTGTAAACTCTGCCCAGTACCCTCTCTCCGTGGTAGAATCTGCCCAGTTAGTTTGCGCTCAATGTAGATTCTGCCGAGATACCTTTCTAGATATGGAATCTCTGCTAGTTTGCGCTCAATATATATTCTGCCAAGACCCCTCTCTGCAATGTAGAATCTGCCCAGTTAGTTTGTGCTCAATGTAGATTCGGCCAATAGCCGTGTTCAGATATGGAATCTCCGCTAGATTGCGCATAATATAGATTTTACCAAGACCCCTCTCTGCAATGTAGAATCTGCCCGGCTGGATTGCGCTGAATATAGATTCTGCCGATTTTACTTTCCACGTTTGTGGAATCTGCCCAGGGAGATTGCGCTTGACTGTAGATCCTGCCGAGACCCCTGACCACATTCTGTGCTTCGTTGCTTTTCCCGCCGTGCTGACCTGAGGGCGGACGACGACAGACTGGATGCCAAGGCGTGGCCCTTGGCGGAATATTTGCTTCTAGTCATGAAAAGCCGTGGACGTTGGACTGAGAATTTTGTGTCCCCTTCGCAATTGGCTTTGAAGAAACGGCCGCAGAGAAACCGGTGTAGATCAAAGATAATAAGAGAAAAAATGAAGAAAAAAATCAATCTTTCTTTAAAGGAAGAAAAACTTGACACGGTGGGTTGTAGGCAGGTATCAAGGGTTGGCTTCATGCCGTACTTGCCAAGATAAAAGTTTTGTTTGGACAGCGCAGAAAACATCAGCACTACATTCAGAGGCCCTAGTGTCGGTGCCATGACCTCGGTGGGTAGCAGGATTGCGCCTGCAAACGGCAGAGATGATGGTGAGGCAGGTTCGATTCTCTTGCCTGTGCCAGCTCCTCTATTCTCAAGTGTGTGTGTGTGTGTCTGTCTGTTTGTGGGTCTGTGTGTCTGTGTGTATGCGTGCTTGTGTCACGGTAAATTTTGGGCCTCTGCTGCTTACTTATTCATTTTGGCGAGGCCATGCGGTGCGTCCGGTGCGCTAACATCTTCTTGCGCCGGCGTGGGATCAAGGACAGAATGATGAAATTATTTTTCCCATGGGCTAGTAGATGAATCCTCCTTGACATTGCAGGAAAAAGATGAGATATGCCAAGAAATGGCGATCGCTTTCTTGAAGGCGCTTGGTGAAGATTCTCCAAACTGTGATGGACTGTTTCCGTTCCTTGGATGCAGTTTTGAGGTCGTTTCTTTGCCTCCGCCATGCAACTAGCTAGCTGTGAAAGGGTTGTGAATTCAATCAATTTCAGAGTCAGCTAAAATGTATTACATTCTGCAAAATGTTGCTTCCCTAGCCCGATGCCGGCGGCCGGTCGTTCAGGAGTGGAGACTTGTGCTCGCTTCACGATCTTCGTCACTATGTTCTCCAGAGATTTCCATGCCCTGGAGAACAGGAAGGAACATCGGCGGAGGTCCCCTTGATTGATAGGAACAATGCCTTGCGAGGTCTCCATTCAGAGGACAGAGTTCGTCAGCGCAGGGATGTTTGCGTTGGAATGTTGCAACGTTATAATGGAGCTAGCAAGGGTCACAGGGATCCTGAAAGTTCAAAATTAGAGCTGGAAATGTTCCGAGAGAATGGATTCCAATAACAACATCAGCTGGCTGAAGTTGGTAGCCGTGGAGGTTGTGATGCCTTCCCGGACAGGATTCTAAGATGATGGGTAGCAATCGAACGCATGTTTTCCACATAGGAAATGCAAATGGCTTTAGATACATTGCAGAGTTCCTGTGCTGCGACCGGAATGCTTCAGGACTTTCGGTGGCTATCGGATGATTCTGATGTTGAAGAGGCAGGTTTTGCTGGTCAGATTCTTTGCAATGCATTTGCTCCGTGCTTGTACCAGTCTTGGCCCACAGAGATTTGAAAACGTTCTGCCCTGAGTTTGCCCGGAGGCAGCTGGTGTGAAAAGAGGCTGCGAGCAGGCTCGGAGAGGGTGTCGAGCGATTGGGAAGCTAATTTACTTCTTGACTGGCCAGGGATCCAGCCAGAGCTGCTTCCAATGGAGCGATGTTGAGAGAATGGACACGGTTGGAAAACAGGGGCATGACTCTACTTCAAGAAGTTGGGCTGACCGATGCATTTTTTTTCGAGACAAGGGAAAGAATTCTTGTTTGATAAATCGATGGTGTGACAAGACGCTGAACACTCTGAAAACCAGGTTTTAATTTCCCATGGCTGCCCAGAAAGTCACATCTGCATGTTTCTTGCAAGCACATCGCCAGCCAGGGTGAGACTCTGGATGTCAAGGGCATCCAGAACTTGGGTAACACTTGCCATCTTGGGGCGGTGCTACAGAGCCTCAGGCCGGACGGCTGTTTGTCATAGACAATTCCTGCCGGCTTGGCCTTTGCTATAGGAGCTGCCCGCCAATCCGACAGAAGCTCAGTGACCCGGCTCTTCACGAGCCCAGGACCGGTGATCACATAGTAGAGTGTCATGGCGCAAAAAGTGCAAGTCTGATCAGGAGACATGCGCAGTGTTGGCTGGCAGGACGCTCTTCCATCACCTCGCTGCATTCTTTGGGCAGCAGAAACGGGTTCTGGACCCGGAGGACTTCATGAACTATGTGGCAGGTCTAGAACCACGAGCTCATGGTCTGTTTGCAGCAGGCGATTCCCAGCGAGATGCCCAGGAAGCCTACAGTTTCATTGTGGACCGTTTAGTGAAGGAAGATGAAAAGCTGTTGGACATGTTGCAGGTGCCGCTGGTTTCTGCGCTTCGGGGAAAGCACATCTTTTGCATGCAACCTATTGTATATTTTCCGTGCATGTGCGCTTGACTTTCTCCGCTGTGATGCCCATACACCACTTGTTTCGCGCCAGGGATGGAAGCAGATAGAACTTTTTTGCGACAAGTGTGATACTCGGCAAGAGCAGTGGGAGCCGTTCTTCTTCCTCGACTTGGAGATCAGCGGCGAAAGCTTGCAGGAAATCCAACACATGTCGAGTCAAAGCTCGCTGTTCAGCATTGTGGCCCTGCAGCCAGGAGTGTCTCGATGCCTACAGGAAGGAAGACATGCATGATGCAGCAAGGCTTGTTTATGTGCGTTACCATTCCAAGCGCCGTATGGTGCACGTTCTTGGTTCAAGCATGGTAAAACAAATTTTCGTATGTTCTCGCTTGCCGGACACCTTTTGGCAGGTGCTCTTCTTGCGACGCCCAAGGTAGTCTACGCAAACATGTCCAGCTGAAAGTCCCGAAGGCCAGCGATCAAGGCAGTTGCCAGTGATTGTAGGATTTATGCATCTGTGTCATTGTTGAAGGTGCTTTTGCTGTACTTGAAGCGATTTGAATATCTCGCAGAAGAGACAAGCCCTCAGACGACCGCGTGTTAAGTGTCACCACTGAACATGCTAGTGCTGTTTGGTGAACCCTCTCACTCTAGGCAACGCATCAAGAAACGTAACGACCCAGTATCGTCCGGGCCTAAGCACTCCAGTGAGGCTGCTACAATTGAAAGCGCGGAACGATTGCGTCATGTGTAGGGCTACCTCTGGAAGAATGTTGCATCCAGCGGTTCTGTTCCCTGTGTGAGGACACCCTTGCGTTTGGACATTTGCGGAGTCCCGATGGTGCTCATGAGCGTTTGGCGCTTACACTGACAGCAAACAACTGTGAAACTGCTTTTCAATTGGTTGGATGAGGTCGTGCACCATTTTGAAGGTGCAGATGAGAGAGGGCACTATACTGCTTCCATTCGCAGGCGTGCTGCCGCGGGAGATTAATGAAAATAGTTTTTTCCAGATAAAAAACATTGGGATCAAAAAGACATTTATTGATCCGGATAAAAAACGGCTTATCGCCTTAAAGACAAGATACATTTTCTCTTTGCGAAACAATACGAAACGTTTTCATTTTTTTTTATCCTTCGATTTTTTTATCCAATGTTTTTGATCCTCTGTTCAGCTGCAGCCCAGAGATGTTGTACTTATGCTTGTGCAGAACACTGGTTGGGCAGGTGCGGGTCCGATGACTCTGCCTGGGTCTATGTTGATGACAGTACCACATGCAAGGCGGGAGCAATGCCTAAAGCCCTTCAAATGGATGCGCAAATTGGTGCGCGCCCGTTTGCCAAGGTCCAAGCGAAGACGGTTGCTCACTTTCAGGGGTATGTGTACTTGTACCTTGCTGAAGATGCTGAACAGGCGTCGTTGGGAACCAGAGGTCAGTTGCTTCGTAGCCTGCGGTTTTGGCTCGCAGGTTGAGAACACGCAGCGCGCCAGCAAGTTACGGAGAGAAGCGCAGGCAAGATTGCAATGATTGACATCTGGCAATGATAACGAATATAGAGCCTTGGAACCTTTCCAAGATTGATAGTTGGGAGGAGATTGGAGAAGAGATCGCTTTGTTGCTTGACTCTCCTAGTCAGGCCCGAGCTGCTGCTCCTTTTGTGATGTGGCTGAATGCAAGAACCTGCAAGAAACCCTTTCATGCTCATTGATTGTTCTTCGTGTGCTGAACCTACGGGGCATTGTTTTGTCACAGTCTACTTGCAAGACGCAGAAATAGGGAGGCTCACAAGATGTACCAGCTCTTTTTGGCTGCAACAGGCAGAGATTCCGGACTCGTTGTCTCCAAGCAGTGTCCCTGCTTCGAATGCTTGGGCCCGAGGTTTTCTCAGATGAAGCAGGAGAGAAGCTTGCGTTCCTTCATGTGTCTCTTTCCGTGTCTGAGGCAGCTGTGGAACCTCTCAGTGATCCACCTGAAGTGTCAGAGGCATTTTTCCAGACAAATTTGACAATTCCAATAGTTTTGGTGAATGTGATACTTGTGGGGACAGCCGGGTAATGGTCAAGAGCCAATGATTTTTGCTGGCAGGATGCAGTGGCCATGTCGGAGGAGGATCTTCTGGCTTTGACTGTTCGGATCCCCAAGTATCGAGAAGTATTGGCCTGTAGTGTAACACGCTTTGTCGTGGTTGTTGGTTGCATGGCTGGTTCAGCTTTTAACTTTGACAGGTGCCAAAGCTGAAAGAAAGGCTCCGAGAAAAGAATTTACCTTTCGGGGCCAGAGAAAAGAAGAGAGATCTGATCCAGCGATTGCTTGTTGGAGTGACTTCATGTGGTGCTTCTGCTGCCGAAGTCGGACAGGAGGCCGTCATGATGGCGTGTCACTTTGTGGAAGTAAACCAGGTATTCCAGCAGCAATGCGGGCTTGTTTCTTTTTTCTGGTTCTCAAAACATGATCCGAGCAATTTGAATGCGGCCTGGAATGGGATACGATAATTACGATCTGATCCATTGAGTCATCATCATTTTGCGGCGCCGACAGGAGCATGCCAAGCCAAAGCAACTTGCACAAGGGGCTCTAGGCAGTTCTGTGCATAAGCCGTTTGTGAAGAACTTTCTTGCGGGAACTTAGGATAGCGCATTTTAGCCGTAGTTGACCTTTTTTTGGTTTTCAACTCATGCAGGCCCTATATCTGTTTGTTGTGTTGCTGCAGGAATTTATGTCCGTGAGCACAAAGAGCGGCTGCAGAAGTCCGTGATGGACGAAACTTGGACCCAAGTTTCGTCCATGTGTCGTGAGGCCAGCCCATCAATATATTTTCAGATTTTGTTGTTAGACCCGAGGCGTCAGAGGGCAACTGTGCCAAGGGTGCCTTGGGTCGTATCACCCGAGCGGCAAGTCTGGAGTGGAAAGCTTTGACAGAAGAGCAGCGACGGCCCTATAAGGAACAGCTCGGCTTGCGGATCAAGGGTTGTTGCAACTTTGATCTGAGACATGCTTTCAGACATTTTTTTTTTGGATCTTACCTATACCCACAAAATACCAAGAATTTTTGTGGGAAACCAGGAGCAATATGCAGAAGCAAAAGAGAAGCGCGCAGAAACTTGACATTCCAACGTCTCTGTTACGCGTTTTCTTTTCAGTTTGATGACACTGCTCTCAACGCTGTGTTCTATACCTCAAGGCGGTAACACCTAAGGCTCAATCTTTCATGGGGGATTGTCGCGCAGACAACGCTAGATTCAGCGCATTTTCAAGATGCCTCCTGATCCGAGGAAGAGCTGAATATTTGGAAGGCAAACAACAAAAACCCTGCTGAGAAAACAAAGACTTGCAGATTGTGCCGCCGGACAAGTGACAAGGAGCCTTGGGCCCACAAGGAGAAACAGAGCCATCATGCTTCGGGGAAGCAGTGCAGAGCCTGCGTGTATGCCGTATCTTGCCTGCATAGCAGACAAGAGAAGCCAATGTGTTTGTCGAAATCAAGACAATCAAAACGATAGAGTGCAAAGGGAAGGAAGTCTGTTTACAGTTGCTGGAAGGAAGTTCCCCAGAAGACATAGGATATCAAATGCAAACTGTTCCACCGTCTCTGTCAATATCGGATCTGCACTTTGCCAGGTGGCCATTCTAGCGGAGCCTGGGGCGCTGGCTTCCCGGACAAGTGCGATGCCAAGACAATTTGGAAGAAGATCAAAAAGGAATTCCTGGGTCAAGCGGGCATTGTGTAAACATATTGGCAGTGGATTGTTTTGATTTCCAACAACATGCTCAGATGGACTTGCCTTTCTTTTGTTCGACAAGTGTTGAGCACGCAGTTTGTTCTGACATGTTTCGCTTCTGGGGTCGTGCAGCCTTGCATCCATCGGAGATTGATCAGGATGAACCATTGCGCAAGATGGTCCATGAGCAAACAGAGCGCATCCGAGCACAGGGAGAGAGCCAGATGGCTCAGGAGTTGATGAGTGCAGCGCCAGCCACCATCGAAACTGCTGATACTATGAACGTCATTCTGGAAGGGCCCGCTTTGGATTGGAACACCGTGGAAGCTAGGCAGATCAGATTTGGCACCCTGACTTGTGATGCTGCGTGAAATAGATCAAGCGCGCCTTGTGTCCATTTTGTGCTCTAGGACAACACCGTGGTCCCGGCGACCCAGAGTTTGGTGCCGCAGAACTGTATGAGGATTCGCCCCACCATGTCGAACCAGTTGACGCTCCGTCGAGCGCGAGATGATGTGGATCCTGCAAACATGTTTCAGTCACTGCAAGCCTCTCAGTGCCTCGATGCATGCGCTGGGGGCATTTTATCCGATTCATGTTCAGTGCATCTTTCGTAGGTTAAGGTTCCTGTCTGTTCCAGTGTTTGCGCTCACAGGAAGTTCTCTCAGTCTGTTGGCTGGCATTTACTGGCTTTCTTTCGTCAGGATGGCAGGGATCGCAGAGCAGATGCGGGCCGGAAAGCCTAGGCAGCATCCAGACAGCATTCAAAGTGTTTTGCAGGAATTTACGTCTTGAATTGATTGTTTCATCGTCGTGTTGTGGACAGCTTTGCCCATAGCTGTTTGGCTGGCTGATAGGAGAGACAGTACCTGTGGGAGGGAACGCTGCATGACCTCGCCAAGGTTGAGCCTCAACGGTCTAGCTGGTGCTGTGGCTGGCAAGCGCCGCAGGATTGCTGCTGTGAAGAAGAAAGCAAAGCGTTGAAAGATGGGGCTAAGCAGTGTCTCCGAATTCATGGGCGTCAGTGTGTCCGTGGCAGGCTCATATGTGAATGATTGCTTTCGACTTTATGAAGCCTGAGACACCTTCTCATTTCTTATTTATTGTCGATTCTGCCTAAAGCAATGCTGGTGATGTAGATTCTGACTAGGATTGCTGTGACCAATCTAGATTCTGCCCGTTGCAACGCGGGTAATGTAGATTCTGCTAGGTATAGTTTCATCTAATGTAGATTTTGCCTAAAGCATTGCTGGTGATGTAGATTCTGACTAGGATTGTTGTGACCAATGTAATAGATTTTGCACGCTGCAACGCGAGCCTCATCTAATGTAGATTCTGCCCACAGCAATGCTGGTGATGTAGATTCTGACTAGGATCGCTGTGACCAATGTAAATTTTGTCCGCTTCAACGCGGGTAATGTAGATTCTGCAAAGTATAGCTTCGTCCAATGTAGATTCTGCCTACAGTAATGCTGGTGATGTAGATTCTGAATAGGATTGCTGTGACCAATGTAGATTATGCCCGCTGCAACGCTGGTAATGTAGGTTCTGCTAGGTATAGCTTCATCTAATCTAGATTTTGCTTAAAGCATTGCTGGTGATGTAGATTCTGACTAGGATTGCTGTGACAACGTAGATTTTTTCCTGTGCAATGCGGGTAATCTAGATTCTGCAAGGTATAGCTTCATCCAATGTAGATTCTGCCTACAGTAATGCTGGTGATGTAGATTCTGCCTAGGATTGCTGTGGCCAATATAGATTTTGTACGCTGCAACGCGGGTTTAGGAGATTCTGCAAGGTATAGCTTCATGGGTCTTTGACAGGACGATCATCTGGGTGCAGTTTGTAGCTGCTGAATGTCACTGTGGTAGCTGGGTGTTTGTTCTTTAAATGGACAGGTTGGAAGCTTCAGGATTTGTTTAAAAATCGCTGATGGCTTATTGAAAACCATGATGAATCAGTTCTGTCTTCCTGTATCTCGATGTTTGAACCATACCCATAGTTGTTATTTAAATAGATGTGATGGTTGTTTGCCAGGGCAGGTCTTTCTACACTGGATGATACTGACAATGGTGCTGAGAGCGATTACGATGGATGTTTCAAGTAACATTTTGTAAACATGACCATTCCTATGTTGCTACATATCAGCTATTCTTATCACTGTTAGTAAGTTATTTTTATGTTCTATTTAACCCAAGTTATCATTAATATTTTTTCTACTCTCATCATCTGAAACCAGCATGCTTGATAACGTCTTCGCCACTAATAAGAATCCTCACCACCTGCCATATCAATCCATTTTTCATGGCTATTGTTATGAACCTGCCATCTACACACGCAGCCTGTGATGCCACCCTGTAAAGCTCTGACGTCGCTACGCGAAGTTGGGCCTGTGATTTGAAGTACCCAACATCTGGGTTTGTCCGTTTCAGCCAGGATACCAGGCTTCAGAAGGGTTTGATTACCCGAAAGCAATATTTTTCCCCCATTGGTTGCAATGGTTATGAATCAATAATTGTAACAGTAATGAGTATGAATAAAAAGCAATTACGAAATTTCATCAATAACCAAGGTTGACAATGCCTATCCATTGATTAAGTGCTATGATTTGTTGATACTTGATGCGTTCAATGATGCTTGACAATGGTTTGCGAATGATCCAGCGAACGAATTGGCATCATGATGGGTCCATATTTTACCAACAATTTTTCTGATGAGAACAAACATACAATTGGAATACTTGCTGGTGAAAGTATACCAGCGGTACAGGGTGAACTCATAGCCCATTGATGGTTGATACTTCGATGTTTCACGGTCCCTGATGGCTGGTAATGCTCCCTTTACGGACCCCTGGCGCGGCTGCTTCCGCGGCGGCTTTGGGATTCAACGGAATCCCCCAATCCTTCAGTTTCAACGGCAGCTGGTTGAAATTCAAGTTTTTCCAGTCAGGGGTTGCTGAAAAGTCTGTCTTTTTCGGGGGTTTCTCAAGACGCTGTGACAAATGGAGCATAGAAAAATCTGAAATTTGCCCACCAAGACGGTGAGTTTGCCACATCATTTTTCGTCTTCTCAATGACCGTATTGCCCCATTCATTGCGTTTGGAACACAGTGGTTGTTTGGTAGGAATTGTTGGACAAATACTAGTACTCACTACCGCTATTCATCGTGATTCATCACCATGTGAACTGTTTGTGACAAAGATTTTTTTGAGAGTAATCAATGGTTGATGGTCATTTCCCAGCTCTGTTGTTTCTGACCTTCCGACCCTTCGTTTTGTCAAATTACCTGCCAGCATTGAGCGAAGTCGTCGAGACGCGGCCAAAAGGACAAGCTGACCTTTGAGCTACAACTTGGAACTTGTAAGCCTATGGCTATTGATTGGTCAAGCATCATAGTCAACCATCATAGTCAACCATCATCCGCAAGGCACTGCTTGAGAGGGTGGTTTTGAAGCAGCTTCTTTGCTAGATGTGCATGTGTGTCAAAATACAGAAGCCACCAAAATCGAGCAGGTGAAAATCATAGACCCGTGGGCGAATATATAGTCTTAGGAACTTCAATAGCAACTTTATTCAACAGCTGGTGTAAAATCTTTGTCGGGCTGAGTGGCTCTTAATTTTTGTCGGGCAGCTTTCCGGGGTGGTTTTGTCGGGAAGAACGATGCTTCTTGTCGAGCTAATGTAAAATTCTTGTCGGGCGGCGTGGATCCTCATTCTTGTCGGGAATACAACTACGCCTCTGATATGCACATATTATATTAATACATTTGGAATATACTATATATAAATATATATTCTATATATTATATGGGGGGGTTCCTCAAATGGAGGTACCCCCAAATCATCCATTTTAATAGGATGTTCCATTATAAACCATCCATTTTGGGGTACCCCCCATTTGTGGAAACTCCCTATACATACATACATACATACATACATACATACATACATACATACATACATACATACATACATACATACATACATACATACACACACACAGACATACATACATACATACATACATACATACAACATACATACATACATACATACATACATACATACATACATACATACATACATACATACATACATACACACATACATACATACATACATCCATGCATGCGTACATACATATACATGCATACATACATATACATGCATGCATGCATGCATACAGACAGACAGACAGACGGACAAACAGACAGACAGACATACATACAGACACACACACACATACACACATACATACATACATGCATGCATGCATGCATACATACATACATATGTATATATATATATATATATATACATACATATGTATGTATATATATATATATTCAATGATTTCAAATCAATTAAATCGTACCACTCAGCTAAGTAACGCTTGACCTTTTACAAGGTGCCAGCTGCAGCCAAGGTTCAGCCTGGGAGCTTCTGCCGGCTCTTTTGCAAGGCGCCCTATACCGGTGGCGCGCCCAAGCTCATTTGTCCTGCAGGTGGATGCGCATCCGGGTGGAGATCCCCAAGAAAAGACGGAACAACTTGAATATACCAGGTAATTTACGTATCTGTATCTATATAATTTGTACCATCGGCTTCGCGGACCCGTCAACAAATGATGGTAGAGAGGTCAGGGCAGTGAAGAAGAGGATGGGAGAGGTTTGGAAGAAAAACATGAAAGAACTCAGGTCCTTGGGATGGATTTGGCGCCTTCAGAGACCCCAAATCCTCTTCCATACTGAAGGCTGCGAAGTGTCGTTTTACAAGTTGTTTGTGTGCTGGGAGGCAATACGGATCCCAACTACATTATGCAACTGGGATGCAAGGTCAGGATGTGCCCTTAAAATCCATGCTCGATGGTGAAGTGTTTGGTGGAAATAAATCCAAGCTGGTGAAATCTGGGGATAAAATTGTCGCAATCTAAGCAACCAGTAGGACTGTACGGATGGTCATTGGGGATACCTCTCAATGGCCATTGAAATCTTGTGCTCAGCTATATGTACATGTGATGTGTATGTATATGTCTAACTATACAGAGGATTTACAGAAGCAGATCAGTTAATTTCTAACATTTTTTATAAAAACATATTTAGTAAAATTACTTTTCTATCTTTTTGGTTTGAGGCTGTGTCTCACAACTTGTACTTGCCACATCCTGTGCGCTCAGGAAATGGGTGGAACCTTACTGCTTCTGCTCAAATCCAGAACAGGCTGTGCATCATTGGGGGTCGTGGTCAACAATTTCTGGCCATCCATCTGTCGCCCCAATCTGCCATGGCCAGAAATAGGTTGGATGATTTTCCTCGCCGAAAGGCTGAATCTAAGGCTGGTCTGTATTCAAACATGACCAGTCCATGGTTTCCAGGGTTGAAGTTTTGAGCCACACCACTTGGAGGTGGTACATCTTTCTTCCATCCAAATGGATGATTTCCAATGACTACCAGGTGGTTCACCGATGGCAAGGGCCAGGTCCCCAGGTATATCTGGACACGCCAGGTGCCACTGGGCTACAGCGACGATGGCCAAGGCTCCCATCTGTTAAATCCCCACTTTCCTGGTGAAAAATTTGGTGAACATCACATTTCTGTTGGTTCAAGACAGACCTGGAAACCCCCAATTTCTATGAGGTTATTTGTAATTATTGCAGTGGTTATCATATTTTGGGGGATGGGATTGAGTCCATTCCAAAATCTGTTCCTCAGGGGGCTTTCGTTGCTCCCCTGGCTTCGTCGGAGCCCCTCAATTGCGCTGCCAAGCGGCACGCTTTGAGTGCCTGCAGAAGTCGGAGACGGGGAGGGATGGTCCGGATGGGATGGGGTTGAGAAGACACTTGGTTTGTCTGAAAAGCTTATTTCGAATCAATATGAGACCCTCTGGTAAACTAACATAGCTATTGAAAATGGCCCATTGAAATTGTGGATTTACCCATTGATAGCATGGTGGATCTTTCCATCCTTTTTTGGTATGTTTACCAGCGGGTAGGGTACGCCAATTGGTGGATCTTCCATGCCTTGATTCGGGGGTCGCTCCAATACATTCCACCAGGCCGATCGGTTCCCAAAAGGTAAAAAGTGGCTCTGATTCTACGCCAAATGAAGTGGCCATTGGGCTAAAGTATGACACTCCAAGGGGATAATCATATAGTACAGTATATTATGATTTCCCGACTTTACTTTTGTTGAAGGTTTATCAACCGTTTGAAATCGTTGGAAAGATCACGGGGATGCTGAATGTGTCTGAAAATGGGGGATTCACCCCCAAACAGCGATTTCAATCTGGACACCGGGATACTGATGATTAAGCAGGGTATCCTATCATTTTCAAACACACCCATAAAATAGCCAATCAAAAATCCGGACTTTATTCAACTAAAAATCTCAATTTAGACAAGGCCCATATGATTTTTTTTTCTCAACTCCGGATCCAGTTGGTACTATGCACCACAGCTAGACTGGAAACTGGGAACCTGCCAAATGGCCATACACCCTCCGTCGGTACGACACGGCAATGGCAAGTCCCTTACTCACATCCATGTAAATTAAAGCATGATCATGAATCACAAGCAGTATTTCTAAAATCAGTAGATATATAGATATACACATAAGACATTGTGTATGCACATAAATGCAGATGATTTTCCCATGAATGTATTGTGTGTGTTGGCATTGCCAGGTTAGATCATAGGTCCAGTGGAGCAAGAGGTTTGAGCCATACCAGTACGAGCCGTGTCACAACATCCATTTATCATTTATAGATAATATATTCTTTGCCATGAACAAGTTCGGGTGTTCCAGTTTCCAACCAGCCATATTTGAATACCTCATTGGTACCACAGTGGATGCTTCGAGACCAATTTGGATCCATGGTCAATGCGGGGATTTTACAAAAGTTGCCAGAGATCCCAGAAGTTTTGGAAGACAAAACTAAAGGATATCGTATATTTACATATGTATATATATATATATACATACCTATATTATATTCAATAGATAAATGGGTTTCAAGGTGCATATTCACCAAGCGGATAAGTGATCTGTTCGATGGGTAAAAAAACCCATGGTGTCCTCTACATTTCCATCCGGTCCACTTGTGTCTGAGGAAATTCGGTACCCTCAAATTCACTGGTTAATCATCATTTTGGCTATGAAGTAGCATTTTTTTTCAACCAGTTGTTTTTTTGGGGTATATCCCATTTCCAAACAGCTCTAGATATCCAATAGTTCATATATATATATATACCAGTAGTACCCGCACGAGGCGGGGCGGAAGTTGCCTTAAAGATATATATAAGACCTTTCTCATCTATAGAACTTGCATGCGCCGTGCGCCAGCCAAGCCCGTGCGTGCGTGCACTCTGCGAAAGTGGTGTCTTGTTTCACATGTCACATTTGAAGCTCCACTTCGCACTTCGCACTTCTCACTGCAGTCTTCACACTCCACACTGCACACTTCACACTCCACCCTTCACACTGCACTCTTCACACTGCACCCTTCGCAGTCAACACTTCACTTCACACTGTACTCTTAAGACTCCACACTTCACACTTCACACTTCACACTCCACACTTCACACTTCACGGCTTCCTCCCCAAAACATAGCCCATGCAACATCATGCAGCCATTCCAATGCGATCTGCCACCGGAGATTCCAAAACACACTATAACTACGCACACACAAGCACACCCAAAGCAGCTTCAAGCCACCGTTACACTGCGGCAAAAAAAAAACGACCAACCGACCCCAGCCGCACCCGTCGCACACACGAGGTACCTTTCATCGTCGCCTGCAGCCATTTTACACGGAAAAACACACGGTTTCGTGCTCCGGCTTCCTCCCCAAAACATAGCCCATGCAACATCATGCAGCCATTCCAATGCGTTCTGCAACCGGAGATGCCAAAACACCCTATGACTACGCACACAGAAGCACACCCAAAGCAGCTTCAAGCCACCGTTACACTGCGGCAAAAAAAAAACACCAACCGACCCCAGCCGCACCCGTCGCACACACGAGGTACCTTTCATCGTCGCCTGCAGCCACTTTACACGGAAAAACACACGGTTTCGTGCTCCGGGCTTCCAGCCCATGCAACATCATGCAGCCATTCCAATGCGAGCTGCAACCGGAGATGCCAAAACACCCTATAACTACGCACACACAAGCACACCCAAAGCAGCTTCAAGCCACCGTTACACTGCGGCAAAAAAAAACGACCAACCGACCCCAGCCGCACCCGTCGCACACACGAGGTACCTTTCATCGCCGGCTGCAGCCACTTTACACGGAAAAACACAAGGTTTCGTGCTCCGGCTTCCTCCCCAAAACATAGCCCATGCAACATTCATGCAGCCATTGCAATGCGATCAGCAACCACAGCTTCAAGAAACGCATAGAACTACAACTACGCACACAGGAACAACCACTCTTTGCAAAACACATAGGAGGAACAATTCGCGACAGAAACGACCCCAGCCGCACCCGTCGCACAGACGAGGTACCTTTCATCGCCGGCTGCAGCCACTTTACACGGAAAAACACAAGGTTTCGTGCTCCGGCTTCCTCCCCAAAACAAAGCCCATGCAACATTCATGCAGCCATTCCAATGCGATCTGCAACCACAACTTCAAGAAACGCATAGAACTACACACACAGGAACCACCATTGTTGCAAAACACATAGAAGGAACCAAACGACCGCAGCCGCAACCGCCGCACACACGAGGTACCTTTCATCGCCGGCTGCAGCCACTTTACACGGAAAAACACACGGTTTCGTGCTCCGGCTTCCTCCCCAACTCACCACTTCCCTTCCTCACCGCTTCCCATCGTCACCACTTCCCATCGTCACCACCTCCCATCGTCACCACTTCCCTTCCTCACTACTTCCCTTCCTCACCACTTCCCATCGTCCCCACCTCCCTTCCTCACCATTCCCCTTCATCATCACTTCCCTTCGTCACCACTTCCCATCGTCACCACTTCCCTTCGTCACCACTTCCCTTCGTCACCACTTCCCTTCGTCACCACTTCCCATCGTCACCACTTCCCTTCGTCACCACCCGTCATTATCACCACCCTTCATCAAAGTCAATTCCACTGCTTCTTATTCTTTTGTTATGTATTGTTATGTTATGTATTGTTATGTGATCTACCACCCTGCATCATTTCACGTCGCAGAATTCTATTTGTCCGTAACACGGAAGTATTGCTTCCCAACTTCCTTTGATTATACGAATGCACACGTATCCCAGTGCATCCATCCTGAAATATGATGACCCCCCAACCAATATTCCCATAGAAAAAATCCCTCAGCTATCCATGTGTAGGAGATCTATGGATGCGTCAACCCGGATGTTTGTCATCTCCTGCCCTTCTTCGACGACAACGAGAGCCCCGGGGTGATCACTGGTCAGGTGGGTAGTAGCGGCTACACAATCGAAGTCATAGGTTTTTCTTTGGGGTCTGAAAATGGGGTATCCCCAATTCTAATGGATTAAAACATATTAAAATTGGTTGGTGGTTTGGAACCTTTTTTATTTTCCATAATATATGGGTTGTCATCCTTCCCATTGACGAATATTTTTCAAGATTGTTAAGCCCACCAACCAGTATTAAGATGTCATGTGTCCAGTTTGTAATGCTATAACTGAGGGGTTTCATCCCCCAATTTCAGAGAGGCCCAATATTGGGTATAACGGGGATACATGTTATTCTGAACCCCAATGCATATCTTCCAATTCATGAAGGAGTATAAGATGGAGTTTAACAGAAGTATAGAAAACTTCTCAACGTGATTTAATAGGGGAGTATATGGATCATTTGTAATAGTGGGGGTTACACAGACAATGATAATTCTTAAGACGGATATAGAAGAATGCTGTCGGGGATTATAGCATCCTGTACTATGGACAATGGGTATTTACCAATGGAATTTACTTTGCTATGTATGGAACCAAATATGTTGTGAGGATATGAAAACGGGAACATTATTGGATATAAAGCCAATTTGGGGGCACGGCTGTGTCTGAATTTGGAATTGATGCTTTTCATTAAATCAGTGAAGTTGGGTCGGGTAGGGGTAGCCTTTTCGATGTGCATGCCACAGAAATCCCAACTGGATGATGAATATTTAACTGCTCATTGTGTCCAGTAATGTCCAGTATATGACTTGGCTGCAAAGGAATGAATGAATCATTCACTGAGTGGGATGCGCATCCAAGACGGAAGGACTTTCTCAAACATGATGACATGATGTCAATTTCAGGTTCGTGAATGGTGAACATTTACCAAGATACCACTTGTAGCTACAAAATTTGCTGGAGCCGACGATTGTATCGAAATACGTGTATATACATGTGTATACATATTAGCAATTACTCTCGTACATGCAAGAGAACCCACATATGTATATATATACATACACGTATACACACAGCATCAATATATACAAGTATACAGTACAGTACATGTCACATATTTGTTTGTCTACCGTACTTGCGCTTGCCTGTCTATTTGTGTATTTGTCTGTGTGTCTATCTATTTATCCATCTGTTTGTCTGCCTACTTGTCTATCTGTCTATCTGTCGAATGACTTATCTATCTATCTGTCTATCTGATTATCTGTCCACTTGTCTCTCTGTATATCTGTCTACTTGTCTATCTTCATCTCTCTCTATCTGTCAAACTGTCTATTTACGTATATACGCATCTATCTGTCTATCTAATTATCTATCTATATATCTAGCTAGCAAGCTAGCTACCTAGCTATTCGGCCCGCTATCTGTCTGTCTGTATGTAAATCTATCTAATTGTCTGCGACCATATTTTCTGTATATCTGTCTACCTGTATGTGTGTCAATCTGCCCATTTGTGACCTATTTACATACCTGTCTATCCGTCTATCTGTCTATCTGTCTATCAATCTATCTATCCATCCATCCGTCTATCTGTCTGTGTTTATCTGTCGATCGATCCATCCATCTAGCTAGCAGGTGTCCTTCGGTCCCGCAATGGTGGCCGGCCGGATCGACGAGGAGCAAGTGGAAGCTCGGCAAAATTGATATTGTCTGGTTCCGGCGATGAATTTGCATGGATAACCGGGGTATGGATTAAAAGTAACCAGGGTTTATGGATGTTTCTGGTACATATCTAGTGTGAATGGCATTTATAAACTATCTTAAGCTATTGGGGGGTGCACTTGGTAATTTTTATGGGCATAACCATGGCAAGAACACCTATAAGCCAGGACAGAACCCCTTGGTTTTGGCCATATACTGGAACGGCACCCCCAAGTTACTTGGTGGTTCATCCTACTAATCGTAAGTAGGTTAAAAAGGTTGGTAGGGTGATTACCCACTTATGCCATCTTATGCCTATATAGATCCAACCTATAAACCGACACGAACTCACTAGCAATCAACCACTGCTGGCTCCGGTGATTCCATCGCCTGCATCTGTCAGCTGTTTCATAACCCCTTGAAATTGTGATATCTATATATATATATGATTATATGATATTGATTATATTATAATCTATATTGTTTTATTACAGTAGTTTACATTGTATCTATCATATTATGTCATATCACATTATATTATAACATATTGTATAGTAATGTATTGTATTATATAATTTCAGATTATATTATGTATATTGTATTGTAATGTACATGTTAGTATATTTGATTCTACCTTATTTTATTATATTATGTCATACTATACTATTGTTATATTATATTATATATCATATCGTATTGCGTGATACTATACTATGTTTTATAGCATCAGATCATATTTTATATTATGTTTATATATAATATATATATATTTATATGGTTTATGGGTAAATAAAAGGGCAACCTCACAACGACTTTGCCGTACATGGTGAGCTCATCCCAAAAAGTGTGGCTGGCCGGCTGGCCTTGAGATTTCGCCAAGCCGACTGGCAGGATGTGATTTTTCCAGTGTTGGATACCTGGCTGAGTTGTCCCAGTTGTCCCAGTTACCCTCTGTTAAATAAACATAGACCCTGAAAATAACCAATTTTCAAAGGAAACTAATCTCCCAACCCCTATCTGGCAGGGTCTATGTTAATTTACTGGAGGGTATGTTTGGTGAAAGTTCTCCTATTTTGCCCTGTCCGGCCTGTCCCGTGGGTTTTTTCAGGAAGGCTATGACGTGTTCTTTGCCGACGAGTGCAACGAGGTGGGCGGTAAAGGTTGCTAGCATTGCTAGCCTTGACCAAAAGGTACACTCCCTGGGATTTATAATGGATTTATCACATTTCCTTTTTTTTTATTCACCATGAATGAATAAGTCTGTATGAGCCCCGTATTTTTTAGGAATTTTAAACTCATCCAGACGTTTCAGTTCCACAGAGTTTCACCTGTGATCCCTGGGGACCATGGAAATTTTCTTCGTTTCGCCTGATGGTTTTTGGTGTCTGAAATCGTGGTGTCTGAAATGGAAATTTACCCCGCATGTTAACGCATGGAGAAGGCCATTTTCATAGGGAGAATGATGATCATACCATGGATTTTGGGGTACACTATTTTCAGAACTACCCATATCCACATTCCTGTGGCTCAACATCCCGCCCTTGCGACTTCACAGCCTCATTTCTGTCACGTTTGTGGATGCACTCCCCTTTTGTGTGGATTAACATGATGAAACAACGTATTTTCCGTTTGTTCAATAATGCACTAAATCTGAAATCACCAATTGATATATTAAAAAGACGTTTGTAAATACCAGATACTAAATATTAAATCACCAATTGCTTTTCATACTGTAAAATACCGTAAAACCCAATGTGAGTCTGTCTGAAAAGGATGGGTGTCCCAAAATCCGGCGCGAAGGAGGCTCATTTTCTATCGAGATGGCTCTGTTTTATGGGTATCCCTGATTTGCAGACACATCCAATTACAGTCAATACTGTTACATACTGTTACTAGTTTAGATAAATCCCATAATATATAATAGATAGATGTATATTGACGTAGATATCCCCATTATGATTATCATAGTTGGTTGTATATCCCCATGTTTCATGGTCAAATCGCAGATCATTCTTGGTATTTGTTGGTTATACCTCATTGATATCCCGTATATCCCAGTAAATGATAAAATCAATATCCCTAAATTCCAAATGAAATTCGAATGTAATATCCATCATATCCCCACTGACCCTTGGTTATATGGGTGTGTCTGAAAATAGTGTACCCCTAAACCCAATGGTTAATGATCATTATCCCTATTAAATGGCTATAATTGGGAATATACCCTATTTTCAGACAAACCCATATCATCCCCCCGTTGTGTTTTTTTTGGACCTGTCTGCCATAGGTCGTTGGCTCGCTGGTGGCATCGGTGGATCGGACCTTTCTGCCAGCTGTGGGTGGATGCTGCGAGGTGATGCACTACATGGCAGCCCGGTTTCACCCCAGAAATCATGGTAAAAAGTAGGGGAAGACATAAGACATATAGTTTAGCATGTGGCTCTACCAGCTTCTGGGCTAGGTTCTTTAGAATATATTTCTCTGCTCTGCCGGCTGCATCCGGATGGTTGTTTTGTTGTTTGAAATTTGTTATTTAACACTTTTGTTTTTTGTTATCTAACGGTTAAAAGATCGATTAAAAATCCGAAAAAAATCGATTAAATTAAATAACGGAAAAAAACACATTAAACAAAAAAACACGATTGATTAAATAATCAAAAAATCGATCAAATAACCAAAGGAAAAAAAACGATTAAATAACGTATTTTGCTTGTGAAACTTTGTTATTTAGCAGTTATTTTTCTCATGGGACACTCATGGGCCACTTAGCGGAAATAACTACTGTTAAATAACAAGTTTCACAAGCAAAATACGTTATTTAATCTTTTTTTTTTGGATTTAATTAATTAATTAATCATTTTGTTGTTATTCAATGTTTTTTCGTTATTTAATCGATTTTTTTAACCGTTCAATAAAAAATAACTGATAAATAAAAAAAATAATGTTAAACAACAAAAAATAACCGTTAAATGAAAAAATAACTGTTAAATAACAAACAAGAGCTGTTAAATAACAAACACATAACTGTTAAATAACAAACACATAACTGCTAAATAACAAAACAACTGTTAAATAACAAAAAAACAGTTAAATCACAGAAAAATAACTGTCAAATAAAATAACAAAATAACAAAAAACTAACTGTTAAATAACAAAAAATAACTGTTAAATAACAACCAATTTTATCCTAAAGAAAACGTGTTAGAGCAACATCCTAACATATATAGTTAATGGGATTATATAGAGGATCGAACTACACTTTCTGGGGTTTATAAACCAACTTATTAGTGATATATTCTGATAAATAATCCCTTCCCCCTATTAAGTTTAACCCCCGGAAACCAAGGTAAAAAGTAGGATTGGAACATATGACCGGGACCATATAGGAGGTGTCTCACTAAAATGGGGATCTGGCCAATGTTTTTTTTTTCAAACTTATTTCGAATCAATATGATACCCTCTGGTATACTAACATAGCTATTGAAAATGGCCATTGAAATAGTGGATTTACCCATTAAAAATTGTGATTTTCCATAGTTATGTTAATTTACCAGGGGGTATCTGGTTTGGAGGAGATCCCAAAATAGCCAATTCGATGGGAACGATGATGATAAACCATTTGATCTTGGGTTTTCATTTCAGAGAAACCCAGATTAAAAACACCGGATCGACAGATGAACTCAATCATTAGAACAAGCTGCACGTAAAGGATCCAAGCTGTGTCGAGCGGCCTTGAAAAACCGATGAACATGGGATAGTGTGAACATTGTTAGATTATTATGAATACGAATATGGTTGTATGATTCATTAATGTACTGGGATTTAATGGCATAAAGACTAATAGTGATCAATCCCTAAACAAATGGAACGCTAGCCGTGCTTTCTTATTTTCGCACGGCCGCAGCAGTGACCAAAACCCAGAAGCCCCTTTTCCTGGTCGATGGGAATGTCCAACGGCAAGCCGAAGATGGCCGAGATCCATTCAGATGCAAGTCGTTGCCAAAATCACAGAATCAGAAGAAGGTTGAGAAAAGTCCGGTAAATGGCAATGGACAATTCCTGACGTCAACGGGCAAATTATGGATGTATATGCGTGTGTATATATATATATATACACACTACACATACATATATCCAGGATCCACACACGTTGGATGATCCACGCCTATCTTAGGTGATGACCTGAGGACGAGTTAAACTCATATTTCCCTGCAAGGAATATATATATATATACACACGTTATATACAATATATATATATTATATATATATATATACAAATATATATATATATATATATATATGTGTGTGTGTGTGTGGTTTTTTTCCTGGAAATATACGTGTGGACCAGGCAATTACGTAGGGCCATTCTTTCAGCCAACAGTTTTTTCGGTGATCTCACAGAATCCAAACAGCACCAAACGCGGCGTCCAAACGGGTACCCCTTGCGCCACCGGTGGTGAAATGTTGCCTGGTCAAAGGTACAGCTTCGAGATGTTTGGATACCTGCAGCTGGGCAAGACCCTATCACTTCTAGACTGGGTCTGTTTGACAAGGGCGGCTAGACGTTTTTTGCGTTGGTAAATGTCAATTCAGTCGAATTTTTTGTAGTTTCATATCACCTGTCAGATTGATTTACCCTAATTGGACGTTCTGGCGGTGGAGCAACATGTGAAGCTCAACATGGGGAAGAACATGACATTACCCCTTGTCTTGGCCCATGCAACCACACCCAAACAACCCCAAGTGGTCTATTTGAGGGGACAACAAAGGTTGGTCTATAACCCTTGTTTAAGAAACATAAGAAACCCATTTCGTTATCCAGTACTTGATGGATTGCATTTGTTCATGTTTATATTCCATTGGACAACCTGGTGTATCTCCTCATGTTTGGACAACCATTTTTTCCTCATGACCGTATTATAATTATTACTGCTCATTGCTGGCTCACCCATGATTTGCCTCCCGCTGGTTGTTTTGTTTCTAGCAGGGGCATACCTAAATTTTCGAATCATCGTCATTGCCTTTTTAAAAGGATATATGATAGACTCATCAAACGATAATTTGTATTTGGATGAAACGTCCTGCCAAATGGGGCTTACCGGGGCTTGCCATATTGATCACTGGGATATACCGTATACCATGTGCCGGCTCGGATGCACATGGACCAAGTGCGGAAGTGCTCAACCCTGTTGTTGGATACTAGCCACTGTCACGGATCCATTGAATAGCAGTATTGAAACATATTCCCTTCTTGTTTGAAACCAAGACAAGCTCACCAAATGTGATAGACCCAATACTAACCCTTCCCAATACTCCACCACTTGGGGTCATCACCAACATCAACCCAAACGGGGATATATCCAACGACAGTTGGCCCAATCGGGGATGCTTTCAATATATTTCTCCCTCCATCATCCCATCATTTCCCATTTCCTACTGGCTTTACCCTCTGGTAGTCAAACATAGCAATTGACAATTCCCCATTTACAGCTGGATTTTCCCAGCCATAAACATGTCAAAAGCTGATTTTCTGGAAGGATTTTCCAGCTGCCCTAAGGACGGTGCGGTGAAGTTGATGGTGGCCATACGAGGACTCAACACTGGAAAGGCTGGTTATGAAGATGGGGGGCTGTGATCGGATCTCGTTCGCGCAACTGTCCACCAGTTACAGTGAATTACATAATATGAAAGTTATATTCTATACAACATTATACAACTATATCCTGGGAATTCCTGGGATATGTTCAAAGGCCTAAGTCCTTCTCAACCCTTCGGCCCTTCGGATGGAACTCCTATTGAGACGACATGGCAGCCGCAAAGTCATAGCCAGGGCCAGGATAGGGGGAGGAAAGAACGGCATGAAACCTCTAGCTGACTCTAGTGTCAATGGTAACACCACGCTTGAGGCAGCTTTTGCGCTACGGCGCTACGGTCACCAAGTAGGTGTCAACATGTTAAATCTCAGCGACGCAGAGATTTTCTATCACTTTTCTGCATGTTTCATACTAAAGGATCTTAAAGGATCCATGTTCCTCATGTTTCATACTAAACGATCCATCTGGCGGGGGAAATCAAGCCCGCGACCCATCCTAGAAGAAACCCAAGTAAACCGAGTGAAGCCCATCATTGTAGATCCTGCAGATTTCCTACATATCTATCATTAGAGCCATAAAAAAAGGCGTGACCCATCCTCACCAGGACGTGAAGTCTTACTCATCGATGAGTTATACCAATTTATCACACCATGACAATGATCAACGAATAGTTTTACGATCTGTTTCTATTCTTCTTTTTGTTAATGCTGCCATTTTCATATATTTTCATGGTGCATCAGCCCTCTCCCTGTTGCCGCTGAACAGGTGGTGAACTTTACGGATAGCAGCGGCGGCCCGGTCCAGCAGCGCCCGGGCACCAGCACGTCCATCCGCAAAGCCGCGACTGGTGCGGCGCCGGGCACGGTGCCGTGGCGGACGACGGCAGTGCTGCTGGCGCTACAGTGGCTGATGGCGATGGGAATGTGACCGGAACTGGTGGAGGCGTTCGATACATTGAATTGAGATATGTTTGAGCTTAAAACATTGATAAACACCTAGGCATATCAACCAAACCAATAGTCCTATATGGAACGGTAAATCCTGCTGAGATTGATAGGAAATATGCAGATGGAATTCGTACGTGTTGCTGCCTTACCTGGTAGCGCTAATGAGTCGTTTCACCGCCAGATCTGCTGAGCAAAATCAGGGTTGCTTTGAAGAATTTAGGACAGATTCACCTATCTATGGTGGTTTCTTGTGTTGGTTTCCAAACTATGTCCTAACATATTTCCTATTTTTTTTGGATTCCTAACCACCAGATGGTGGTTTCCAACCTCTGGTTTCTTGTCCATTTGACCTGGGATGATGATCCCATTCACATCGGTCAACCATGGTCCTGGAACAGATGCTGAAGCCCATTTTTTGAAGTGGTAATAAGCCTCAAGTGGGTAGGATATGAACTCCTACTGTACATATTCTTGGGATTTCTTGGGTTTGAACATGTTAGAATTAGACACGTTAGAAATCAGGATATGTCTGGATCAGAAACCTGGCTTGAAGGACGTCACAACGATGTCAAAACTACCACTGATGGCTAGGGAGAAGCCGCAGAGCCCAGCAGGTCGGCGTGTATTCGGAGTCCGTGCGTCGCACGGCGAAGCAAAGAATTGCCGGTGCCGCCGGTGGGTTGGGCCAAGCCCAAGCAGTTGTGATGCTCAGTTCCTGTGGAAGCGGCGACTGGGTCCATCCATGGAAGAACCATGGCTGGACAATCAAACAACATCAAACAACGTGAAACCACACTTGGGGGCACAACATGGCCATGTCTTTTTCCATGGGGTTTTGAGAATAAGTTTTCTGAAGCAATTCAGGCGAAAAGCGTGAACAGTTGCCCAACTTTCTGAAGAAAAGTGCGAGTCACCACAGCACGGGAATCTGAGCCATTGCCCGTAGTTAGGAAGCGCGGCTAGCAACTCCAAGGAAGATTGAACAAAAATAGCATATAAAATTCAAATAGGTTGCAATTGCTTTGACCAGCAAAAGGGAGAGGCAATCGCCCAAAAAATAGAAACACATAGGCAACATAGGTGATATTTGTGAAGTTCGGGGCCGGATGGGCCGGTAGGCTGCTAGGTTTCAGTTGACATGGACTTTGTGGACTTCGAACATTTGTGTGATTTTCGGACTTGCTCCATGGTCAGGTGAGGGGAGAGATTTGAACGCTTGTGCTACCTTCGTGGGCAGGTTGTACACTATCAAGCATCATTCAGCATCGGTCACTGAATCCTGGAGATTCCAGCTGCAGATCCCAAACCGATTAGCAGAAAATTCTGGTCCTGGTTCGATGCTCACGAAACGGTCCATGACTTTGGAGAGAAATCGTTGAGGAGTCCACCGGCTCTTGTTGCTGACATAGACCAAGGGTTGGCGCAAACCCCAATTGTCCATCCTTAGGAAACAAAGTAGGAAACAAAGCAAACCGCAGGCAACAGGTACAGTAAACTCTTGTAAACTTTGTTCTCAGTGCCGAGGGCGTTTTTCCAGAGGCTTGCTACCAGATGGATCCGGATGGAAGATTCATGAAGATTCAGCATAAATCTGAGCCACGAACAGGTGCAGAAAAGATGACCCCAAAGTGTGGTCCTCATGTGTTTTTTCACCGCAGAAATCATGCGGCTGGGGTCGATATGGCCAGAGGAAAAGTGGTGAAACGATCAAGTCGGAGGGACTGATGGGACATGGCAAGGACGGGTTTTGCTCAACCGCCGGGCTGTTGAATTGCGGTGGATTTCATTTTAGTATATTTTAGTAGCAGATGACATCGCTATATAGGGGGAATCCACCTAGTTAATCAACCAGGATATTAACTAATCCGGGGTTGGCAGGATTCATTTTTTTCCTATACCAAAACTTTTGCAATCGATTATGGGGCTCTGGACCTGGATTATGGGTCTTCCACATGTGGTTTCATGGACCTTTTTCTTTACATAAATCAACCTAAATCAACCCTTCCTTTGAAAGGTTTTGATGTTAATACAGGTAGCCTGCTAAGATTGCTAAGATATGACCCTAAGATTCCTTCGACCAATGAGATCATTGGCCCGCAATTCTTATTTAACCAATTGGGACCCTTTAGCCCTTTAGCCGCTAATTGGGAACCATGTTCTTTCAAACCCTTTTCCAATTCTATTGACGCAAAAGGATGTCCAGTCCAAATTTCGAAACAACATCATTCCTAAATCGAAATTCTGTTCAATGGGATCCCAGATCAAACAACTTTAAAGTGATTGCATTTTACATATTCAGGATCTAATTGGGATTAACTGGGTATATGGAGGCAGCAGCGACCGAAAATGGTACCAGACACATGCCTTTTGAACTATAGTAAAGGTGCATAGAGCCAACAAATCAAGATAGTAACAATCCCCAAAAAACTCAAATCTGTCAAAGGTTCAATTTTGTTAGGATCTAAACCTTAAATTTTTCAGCAACTTATTTTACAGACTTTGTGGACCTTTTTTCCGTTGCGGACGATTATGGGGCATGAGACGTCCTGAGATCTGCTGATTTTTTTTTTTCGGCGGAACTTTTGGGGGCCTGTGCCCCTTGATCGGTTGCAAGTGTTTTTTTACGGACTTTGTCCGTCGGCGGAACTCCACTACACAAATTGTGTACCTGACTTCTGCTGATTTTTTTTTTTTCGGCGGAACTTTTGGAGGCCTCTGCCCCTTGATCGCTTGCAAATTTTTTTTACGGACTATGGTTTTTTTGTTTTTCGGCGAAACTCCACTACACAAATTATGCACCTGACATCTGCTGATTTTTTTTTCAGCGGAACTTAGTATTCAGACCTATGGTTCGGCGGAACTCAACATCACAAAATGTGTAGTGGACTTCTGCTGATTCAATGGTTTTCCCTAGGATTTCTGCTGATTTTTTTTTTTCGGCGGAACTCAACATCACAAAATGTGCGCCTGAGTTCTGCTGATTTGTATGGATTTTCGGAGAAGTTCATAAGTTTAGTAACAGAGCGTCCCTGCAGCATTTTCTCTCACTGGCTTGTTACTGACCCAGCTGCAATGGATGCAATGGAAGAGGATTGGAGTGAGCCTGAATTTCAGGACACTGAATTCAAAGTATGCCCCGTTTAATTGATGGACTCTAGGTCCTCTAACATATATTCTCAAGTTTTTTGGGAATTAAATCTTGTATGGGAAATATCACCCTGCCACATATATATATAATATAAATATCATACATATATACATATATGTGTTTCTATCCAGGTATGTACGCACCGACACATAAAAGACATATGTGTATATGTAAATATATGTACATATATATATATATGTTTGTAGGTCTGACATACGTACATATATATATATGTATCTATGTGAATATATACTTATGAGTATACATATTTCATCGGATTCAATATGAATCTGACACACACACAAACACATATATATATATACAACTGTCTATATCTATCTATCACCCTGAACCACCTCTTGGTGTGTGTGTGTCTGCGGAGATGGGAATGCTGTGTTATTCTCTATTATCTTAAATATATTTTAATCAGTTATATTTAGTATGAAGGAAGTATATGTTGGTATTATATCACATGACATATATATATATATGATCTAAATACAAATATACAAACACACACACATATATATATATATATATATTATAGTTATATAATCATATACGTGTACCTATATACATATATATAAATATATTTATACATAGCTATAATTTCGTATGGGTATAATATGGGGCTCAAAGGATCCAAATTGATGTCCCCAAATCAAAATCCCAAGCCCCATAATTGACTGCAAAAGTTTACCACCAACGTCCAAATTGGTTACAAACCGAGAAAGACATGTGTTTTCCGATCGCCGAAGATATATACGCGTAGCTTCGAAATTGAAACTCGCAGACCTGCAGTTTGGGGGGATTCCATGCCAGGTATGTACTGCTTGGTTTCAGATTTGGTCTTTTTCTTTTCCTCACCTAATTTGAAACGATTCTCCAAACTGACTGACCAAGGAAAATTCTTTGTTTCTTGATGATTTTACCCATATATAGCCGATTTAGTTCGGGGATTTCCTAGCCAGCCATGTTTGAGCCTACGGGTTGAAAACCGTCCGAGCGTTTTAGGCATTTTTATATATGTTCCTTGGGGTGGGGTGGGGCAATAACGTTCACGTACTTGCGCACTCCCATGATGTTACGCCACGGCACGTTCACTTGCACGTGCGCACATACGTTATGCTACGTTGAAGATGTGTCACGTCACGCAGGGGTGGGGTGGGGTGGGGTAATAACGTTCACGTACTTGCCAGTGTTCCCGATCAGTTGACATCTTGCCCAGAAAACGAACAAGAATTGAATGACCTCATTTGGACGTACGTTCGCACATGGCAGTGGCGATGGGAGGCAAATGTAGTTGGAAAAGCCCTGTTGGAGAAAACAGGTGCGTACTTAGCGAAGATGTAGAGATCACCGGAAAAAATGGCTGCCGCTGAGGTTTTGGGTACGCTGACTTCCCAAAAGGAACCTTTTTCGCACTCCGACATGTCAACTATAT